TATATAAACCATATATGTTGGAAGGCCATTTGGCCTGAATTTGTGGGAGGAGTAATGATCCTATTTATAAACCATACCCCCTTTGTCATGCAAGCTGTTTGTCGTCTCCATAGTTACCTGCACTTCCGGTCAGTCGTTCCCGCCAAGTCCTGTCTCAAGCTGTTTCTAGCAAGCAGTCCGTCGCCAGCAGCTCCTGCCTTTGTCTTCCGTGTCTGTCCACCGGCTTCTACCCGACTTCGCTACTCTCTACCCAGCTTCCAGTCACAAGACCGGCACGTCCACGTAAGCCTAAACGTGGGAAATGGCGTTCGGCTATTTCCCACGTTCAGACCTAAAAACGCGGGGATAGGCTCCCTTCATTACTTACCCGTTTGTGCTCTTACACTGTTCGTGTACTTCTGCGTTTGTGCGGCTAACAGCGGACCGCAGAGTACACACTCCTTTCATATATTTTTTCGTATAAGCTAACTACCGACCGCACTAAACAAACTTACGTTCTACTATTTCATCCGTTCGTTCGTTCAGCCGACCACATATACAATTGGCTTTCGTTTTAATCAGTTTGTATGCTCCCTTTAACCGAACGCAGGAGATCTTTTTCTTTACAGTCCTTCTGTTCATTTGTTTAACTGAATGCAACAGGCTAGTGTTTACATCACAAATCTGCTGTGAATGTACCTTGTTATGCCATTCACTTAAACAAAGCACTCTCATTATTTATCCTATATGAATGTGTTTTATTATATGGCTCTTAAAGTCACACTGGTTAAAGTGTTTCACTAATTTCCCGTCCATGGTCACATAATTATGGGACACCTATCTTTTTACAGGGTAATCTTCTTAAAGGCACAGTTTGGCCACTTTCACTTATAAGTTACACTAATAAAATACACCTCCAGGCAATGTTATCTAACGCTGCTGGGACTCTATTGCACTTTCCCTAATGTACTACTCTTCTACGCAACTAGTCGTCCACTCATAAGTTAAGCCCTTACGGTCCTTTTTCACCAGGCTCATTACAGACCATTAGCACGATTTTGAAAACCTCTGTTCCTTAAAATTACTTATATACTGGTTCCTTACACTTAGACTGCATATGTTTTTACTACTTTCCTCCAAACAATCTTCAAGGTAAGTGGTATCCCAGTTTCCTGTATTACTGTATCAGGTAAGAAGGATTACCAATTCTTTTTTTCCCTCGAGGCCTCATTCAGCCTCCCCACCTCCCAAAGTGGGTTCTAAACGTCAAACGGGCCAGATCTGAGATTCCTGACGGCGTTTAAAACATCAATCACACAAATCTACGCCACCTTGCTACTACTTATTTAACGTTTCATTTCTTGTCTATTGTTTCTACAATTATTCTCTCAGACCTGTGTAATTTCTGCAGTTTTGCCAAGTTACAATGCATCAACCACCAACAAGACTACCTGGTTCCCTGCATTTAAGTCACAGGTATTGTTAAGTCTTACTCACTACGATTACGTTCTCCTTAAGGCCTCACTTCGCCTTCATATCATGTAAATTCCCCAATCAGCGGATCCCAGGGGGCTTGTCTCTACTTACGGACCAATGTTCAGGTCCCTCATCGTACACTTGTTCTTATGTTACAGTTTCACGACTACACTATACCTATACGTTTGACATTTTTTACACTTGGCATACCAGTGGCATGCCGCAGGCCCTCTAGCATCTTTATTACCAGTAGGATATCTTCACCGGACCCGTTCCCTGCAGAAGCAAGAATATATCGAAATCCTCCTGCGCATTGACCAAAGATAGGACAATACTCAAGGTTAAGTATATACATACGTTCCATTACACCATTCAAGGAGACAAGCCCCATCAGGCTAGTGAACTGGCATTGAGGGTTAGGCGCTGGACTAAGTAATCCTACAGTCCCGCAAGGTCTACACCCCCACCTCATACACGGAGGTTCAGCCCCATGACCAAATCCTAGTTAGCTACCTCGCTCGCCCTTCTTTAGGGCTACAGTTAGGGCTTCCTAAGTCGCGGCCACACGTTTTTTAATCTTACGGTCACCAAGAGGCCAACACCCTGCCACCACATTGAAGTGGCCACAAAATTCCCTTGGCCCAAATCATAGGTAGAGCCTCTCTCTGCCACTTGGCACTAGCAGGGCCTCACCTGTCACTTGGTTCTAGGTAAATTCTTTGCCTCGGCACTAGCTAGCAGGCCAGTTCTCTTAGGGTCTCATCCACACTTCTAAGACACATTACTTATCCAAATCATTATTCCTTTTTCAGAATGTGACAAGAATCCATCCCAATATTTGGTCTGCTGTTGGACGAAATGCCCAGCACGCCAGTCAGGCCTTGGTCTCCAAAGGAATCCCTCACACCTTCTACCCTCATTTACCTGGGATTCTGGACCATTCCTAAAATATAAGCAGAGCTCAGACTCAGGGGTATCCCCTCTCCAGCCACTGCCAGTAAGGCAGAACTACACAGGCTCACGACTGCTCAGGCCAACGTCCCCAGGCCCGGCTCTAGTTCGCAAGGACTGCCAGCTTACCCCTCAGATTCCACTCGGGAAACCCTGGTCGTTATCCTGGCCAGCCTCCAAATGATCAACAGGCTGGTAAGTGGAAGCGGTTATAGCCACACCAGGTGTCTCATTAAGCCCGGCAGGCCCTCCCCATGCGATCTCGGCCATACAGTCTGGCTTACGCCTCATTTCCCCTCCCCGTCCCCCACCAACCACTATCACTACTCCATACGTCTCACCGGCCAACTCTGTTCCAATTTCCATGGAGAAGGAAATTCCCGATGGAAAGGACGTTAAACTAACATCACTACTTAACTTCCCAAGACACCCTACGGTACAAAGGTTATATTCATGGTGACATTTCAGTAGTCCTAAAGAGTAAGACCCACGACTTAACAAAGCTTTTAATTCCTCAGTTTGTCATTGTCTCTCGCATAGAGACAGCCACTTCCACTTCTCACCACTCCTTCACCCCACGCTCTAGACAGGGAGGCAGGCAGAGGGACAAGCTGGGCTGACCATTTCATTTCTGGGTAAGGCTCGGGTGCACTATCACTTTAATCGTGAGGCATGCTATTTCACTACATGAAGGGTATCGCACTTCTGCTCCAGAGCCCACACCTAGTCCACATATACAGCCCGTCTGTCACCTAAGATACGCCTAACTAAGGTTAACATTGTTATCCTGGTATACTATCTGCATTTACACCCAGCATTGTTATTCTGGTGCCGGGTTTCTCACAGGGGTTTCACACGGGCCTTATCGCCATTCCCACAGGTACACTCGTATGCCCTAACCTATTATCTGCATCCATTGACCCACTTACGGTGGGCCACATTCTGTCCACGGCAATCATATGTTGGTTCACGATCGCCTCTTTCTGGTCTTCACACTTATCATCTTGGCATACCAATCCCATCGAGGTATAATACAATACCCTATAATACATCTGATCATAGCCCTCTTCCGCACCGCACTCTACATCCATTCCCAGCATCAACTCCCTCATTCCCGCTAAGGAGTTCTCACCGCACTACGCAAATCGATGATGCCATGCAAGCTATCACTTCAGCAGGTAGTAAGGCTCGGTTGAGCAAGACAGACTTATCCAACGCCTTTAATCTACTACCTATTCACCTTTCACTATGGCACCTGGCCTATGTTGGGCTCTCGGAGCAGCCCTAAGTATTCAGCATCTTCGCACAAACCCTCTGCTGGCCACTCCTAAAATCATTCAGGTGTCCATTAGTGATCCACTATCTGGATGAGTTGTTTTTTTTTTTTTGTTGTTTTTTTTGTTGTTGTTTTAACAGGTTCACAAACACCTAACACCTCCTTTTCACGATACTTGGGGTCCCTCTGTCACTAGGCTATCATTCCGCAAAGTAGGTCTCTTGTCCCTGGGCTACTTAATTTGCTCCACGAGGTGCCAACTCCTGCCCAACCATTCGGGACGATCCAGCCAGGGCAGTTTTACACACTTAGTGTAGTTTTTGGCCATGGATCGGGATCTCTTCGTTCATTCCCCCCACTTTCAGAACACTCACGTTCAATTCACACTGATCCTTGTCTGCAGTTAGCACTGTCCTTTTGGGTACAAACATGCAGTCTTTAAAAGTAACTTAATTCGAGGCACTTTATTGTTGAGCTTCACCACAGAGACAGCGGCAAATGGGGAAAAAAAAATAATGTAACACAAAAACCTAGCTTGTCTGAGCACTAACTAACATCAGATTCCCTATCTCTCCGGGGTTAAACTATAACAAAACACTATTGATTTCACCAACTTTGTGTCTTTGTCAGCTCTCTGCACTCCAGTGCTTAGTCAGCCTGCTGCTTCCAGCCTTCCGCAGAGAAACCTTCTCTCCTACCTGATTTAGCAGGGAGGGGTTTATTCCCACTGCTGCAGCTGATTATCTGCAGCTGAGCAGTGGGTTGGAGACAGTCCAAACCCTGGTCTGGACCTAGTCTCCCAGGAACAAAACGATAAACAGCGGAGTGGAGCACTGGCCCACCCTGCTCTCCAAATGCTCCACCCCAGGGACCCATAACTAAATATTCATTTAAGTTCTATACACACACACACACACACTCCCCCTGGGGTTAAAAATCAAATGCCTCTCTGAACAATTCTGTCGAAATATAAACTCCCTCACAACAGACGCAGCAGCACATACAAGGTTCGCAGCCATTTTCAGCAACCACTTGTTAGTGCCGGCCTTTAGAGAGACTTCTTCTACTTTGTCAGAGATCTACCACATCGTGGCGGCCACCCTCACATGGGGTCATCTTTGGACCGGCAAGGCAGTTAAATGCTGCTCTGACAACTCCGCAGCCTGCGACATCATTAACAAGGGCGGTCATCGTCGCTAACCATTTTGTGGCTGATTCACAGGCGGACTTGGCCTCTCAGTTCTTTCTAGTCTGCTTTTACACTCCTGGTGTCCACAACACAGCCACTGACTCTCTTTCACGCTCAATTTAAGGTCTTCTTTCAGGCACTCCCTACGACCCACTACCTACCATCCAGGATACCACCATTCCATGAGCTTATCTTGGACGAAGCACACAATTATACCTCGTACAGGTACGCACGCTTCACGCAGTTTCACGTCTACTCTATCACGCACGCCAGGGCTTTGTATATTGTACCGTGTCACAAGTAGATTTTGCTTGATTCACGACTTTTTGCAGTTAAACTGTTAATTTTTGCCTCTTCCTCTAATCCTACAATTCAAGCATCTTACTTATACCTCCTATGCTGTTACTCCACTTTTAAGTCTCCAAGGTCATTACTTCACGTCTAAACCTTCCATTAAGGTGAGCTACATCATGGCTTCCTTTGCTGGTCTCTTTTTCGCAAAAGCGCTGCATCAGCAGCTTCAAGCTCTTACACCCCAGTCTACATCACTAAGTAATGGGGCCACAGGTAATCCTCAGCTCAATTACACATATACCTCAATCAGAGTAAAAGCTCCTTGCAAGCTTTCAGTACCCACTCTGTATAAACTTGCAATAAAGTGTGTTTTCTTTGAATCCTCTTTTGCCCTCTTTTTTTTTTTTTTTTTTTTTATTACAGGCCTATTTGTACTTTGGTTTCGGCACACCCCATAGCACAAATTGGAAGGCCATTTGGGATGAATTTGTGGGAGGAGTAATGATCCTATTTAAACCGTACCCCCCCACTTACCTTTGTCATGCAAGCTGTTTGTACCCTCCCACCTACACCCTTCTATATTAACAATTCACCTTTGTGGGCCCTCTTTTATTACAGGCCTACTCGTACGTTGGTTTCGGCACACCTCTACCAACTTTGCTTCTCCTTCTACACTCCATTAAGTATTCGAAAAGTGTGTGTGTGTGCGTGTGTGTGTATATATGTATGTAGATAGGTGAGTGCGCTGGATCTTGTGTATTGTATTATTTGGCCCCCAGCAGCACCCCCATTTATGCATGTTAAGGTGAGTGCAGCCAACCCCCTCTTATTTTATATATATATATATGTACACACACACACCTCAAAAAAATAAAGAACACATAAACAACACAATGTAACTCCAAGTCAATCACACTTCTGTGAAATCAAACTGTCCACATAGGAAGCAACACTGAGTAACAATCCATTTCACATGCTGTTGTGCAAATGGGATAGACAACAGGTGGAAATTATAGGCAATTAGCAAGACACCCCCAATAAAGGAGTGGTACTGCAGTTGGTGACCACAGACCACTTTTCAGTTCCTATGCTTCCTGGCTGATGTTTTGGTCACTTTTTAATGCTGGCGGTGCTTTCACTCTAGTGGTAGCATGAGGCGGAGTCTACAACCCACACAAATGGCTCAGATAGTGCAGCTCATCCAGGATGGCACATCAATGCGAGCTGTGGCAAGAAGGTTTGCTGTGTCTGTCAGCGTAGTGTCGAGAGCATGGAGGCGCTACCAGGAGACAGGCCAGTACATCAGGAGACGTGGAGGAGGCCGTAGGAGGGCAACAACCCAGTAGTAGGACCGCTACCTCCGCCTTTGTGCAAGGAGGAACAGGAGAAGCACTGCCAGAGCCCTGCAAAATGACCTCCAGCAGGCCACAAATGTGCATGTGTCTGCTCAAACGGTCAGAAACCGACTCCATGAGGGTGGTGTGAGGGCCGGATGTCCACAGGTGGGGGTTGTGCTTACAGCCCAACACCGTGCAGGACGTCTGGCATTTGCCAGAGAACACCAAGATTGGCAAATTCACCACTGGCGCCCTGTGCTATTCACAGATGAAAGCAGGTTCACACTGAGCACATGTGACAGACATGACAGAGTCTGGAGACGCCGTGGAGAACATTCTGCTGCCTGCAACATCCTCCAGCATGACCAGTTTTGCAGTGGGTCAGTAATGGTGTGGCGTGGCATTTTTTTGGGGGGGCCGCACAGCCCTCCATGTGCTCGCCAGAGGTAGCCTGACTGCCATTAGGTACCGAGATGAGATCCTCAGACCCCTTGTGAGACCATATGCTGGTGCGGTTGGCCCTGGGTTCCTCCTAATGCTAGACATCATGTGGCTGGAGTGTGTCAGCAGTTCCTGCAAGACGAAGGCATTGATACTTTGGACTGGCCAGCCCGTTCCCCAGACCTGAATCCAATTGGGCACATCTGGGATATCATGTCTCGCTCCATCCACCACCGTCACATTACACCACAGACTGTCCAAGAGTTGGCAGATGCTTTAGTCCAGGTCTGGGAGGAGATCCCTCAGGAGACCATCCGCCACCTCATCAGGAGCATGCACAGGCATTGTAGGGAGGTCATACAGGCACGTGGAGGCCACACACACTACTGAGCCTCATTTTGACCTGTTTTAAGGACATTACATCAAAGTTGGATCAGCCTGTAGTGTGTTTTTCCACTTTAATTTTGAATGTGACTCCAAATCCAGACCTCCATGGGTTGAAAAATTTGATTTCCATTTTTTTATTTTTGTGTGATTTTGTTGTCAGCACATTCAACTATGTAAAGCACAAAGTATTTCAGAAGAATATTTAATTCATTCAGATCTAGGATGTTATTTTTGTGTTCCCTTTATTTTAATTTTTTTGGAGGGGTGTGTGTGTGTGTGTGTGTGTGTATATATATAATGTACTTGCCTGGAGTTGTGGGAGGGGCTTGTTGATCTTACTTAAGCACTTCCCCCTCTACCTGCATCACCGAGGATTCTGCCTTTTGTCAGGCGATCACTTCCGGTTTGCTACTTCCGGGTCACGATCCTGTTACTTCCGGTGCACGGTCCACAGTCAGCAGCTAGCCCCTGTGTTGCCACTTGCTCGGGTGCTTGGTTAACTGGAAGTTAAACGGTTATTTCCAGTCCCTCCACCCCATATCCACATGCTCAAAAGGGGTATGGGGAGGGGGGGGGGGGGGGGAATTCGTTACACATAAACGCACGCAAGTTTTAACAGACCAACACTGTCTCCTTGTTTGCCGGCTCATTTGTCTACTTCTTCCACGTGGGAGAAGCGGCGTTACTGTTGCAAGCTGTCTACACGCTACAAATCACTCCTATGCTTTTGTTTGCATATACTAGAGACCACCCACGGTCTCCTCATTAAAGGCACAATAGCGTTTTTCCCTCTCACATATAGGAGAAGCTATTTTCACTCCATACATTTCCTAAATGTTACTCTCTTGCATATTTTAAACTTAGAGGAGGCTCAAATGCAAATCACAATCTTATATGGAGGGTTGTTACATTGGAAGGCAACATATGACATACAAGTTTCAAACACTATACTTTTTTTTTCTACATTGTGGTTATGGTTGTTGCGTAGGTATATGTAGTTCATGTTGGCAGCAAGGGGAAGTTTTCAGAAGTATATGTGTAATATATTGTAGTGGAGCTTCCTGTATCCCGGTTAGGTACCTCCGCCGACGGGTGCTCACCAAGGACTCGAAGCACTCCACCAGACTCCATCAGCACCGCAGTCCCCATGTCCTGTGTTACAGCTTGGCTTAGGAACTTGCCGTCCTCTACCCACCCTGGACCTACAACAAGGCTCCAGGTTCCAGTGGGTGAACCTCTCCTCCTTCAGAGAGAGAGTAGCATGAATAGCTCTTAAAAGAGCTTAGTGATTTATAGCCATGGCGAGTATACAGAGTATAGCAGTATGTGGTTCATTTGTTTTATGGAGCATTTCTATGTTATATACAAGTCCTAGCCATCTTATGGCCGTTCGTATAGTTTGCTGAAGGCACTATCCTCAGTTAGATGGTAGCAATATATATGTGTGTGTGTGTGTGTGTATTAAAGCGACCTCCGGTGGTCATGTTGATTATGGCAAGTAGGAATAAATTATCTACCGATCGGTTTCATTGCACTTTTATATGCTAGATTAGGTATATGTGTCAGTGACCGCCGGTGGTCATGATAATGGTTATGGCAAGTAGAAATTATCTACAGGCGGTTTCATGGCATTTTTATATGCTAGATTAGGTACATAGGTAATAGCGACCTCCGATGGTTGTGACCAGTTGTAATTAAGTTTCTGCTTACAGGTTTCATTTCACTGTTGCTAGTACATCTATATCTAGAACCATCTGGGGACATACTGTAGGTACCTGTTTATGCAGGGTTCAACTGTTCCAGCATTATGTGTATGGAGCAATATTCGGTGTTTGGGCAATTTGAAGCGAATAAGTGATTTATAGACGTCTTATATTTCAGTCTCTACAGCATCCACAGTGTGCTGCAACTCTGCCACCTTTTTACTTCATCAGGTATAGGTCAGTAATTTGCAATTATTTATCCACTTATGGTCTCATAAGGCCTGGGTACTTATGTGTAAATTTCTGCATTACTAGGTTTAGGCCATCCTTGCCGCTTATTGAGTCTTGGATTCCGGTCTCCTGCATTTGGATAAATACCAGTAGGTATCCTGTTAGTGGAGGGGAATTAAGGGTACCATCCTCGCCCCTGGGCATTGGAGAAGACTGCCAGCCTCCTGCCATGTGACTATGGCCCCTGGGATGTATTGCCCTTTAAAGACATTTGATTTCTGGGGACATACTGTGGAGTTACTGGGTGGCCACCATTTCATGTATCAGAGGCACATGATGAGAACAATGGATGAAGCACATGGTGAGAACAATGGATGGCCATTTTAACTCAGACACTGTTTGGACTTTTCTACACGGTGCCATCTCGCCGGTATTTGGTGCACAAAGACATTGTGCAGTAGTTTTAAACTATACAACAGGGGACACATTATACAGTAATTATTTTTCATATAGCCTGTATATGTTCTGCGGAATCTGCATTAAACCGTATCTTCCAAACTACTGAACGGATCTGGGTGAATTTTGGATATGTGGTTCACCCAGATCCCCCGGTTCCGAGGATATACGTTTTTATGGGGTTATTGCATGTTTGGGGGTCCCTGTGATATGTTTTATAATACTGTATTTCTCTGCCTGTGATAATTATATTAACCATTGTGTTCAGTAATCATATCACAGGCAGAGGGGAGGATTTTGTGTGGGAGTGTCTGTGTGTATTCTACGGATTGATTGGTTGTATTTCAAAACCCTGTGGACAGTACTGTGTTTGTAGATTGTGAATAAAAGAGGCTGTATATGCCAGTACAGTCAGTTCTACTTCACCCTGAATTTGGAGTGCCTTCTCTTATTGGGGGAATCTTCTACAAGGGATTGCTATGCTCTGCATACTCCCTTGCTATATTCACTGCTAAACTCTTGTAAGAGCTTGTTCCGGTTTTTGCTCTCTGAAGGAGTCTACAGTGGTTATGGTGTCGGCTGGAGTGCTTGGAGCCCTCAGGAAGCGCTAGGCGCATCCTTCAACGGAGGTACCCAGTCGGGGTGCCAGGTGATCCGTTACACCTGCAAACTCACGATTACTCTCATAGGTTACTACAGATCGCCTGTGTTACCTTATCCTGCTACTTTGCAATTACTCAGCAGGTACGTCCTTTTTCCTGTCTATAATTTCTCCCAACCTCCCTACCCCATCGGGTTTCATAGTATAATTACATACTGGCTTATAAGGATAGGAGCCTCTAGGTATATTTTCTGGTCTTCTATGCCTATATTAGTGGTCCCGCGAGGACAACACCCATCCTCATATCGGAGGTACGACATCCCCTCGGGCCAATACATAGTTAGCCGCCTTGCTTGGTTGCATAGAGAGGGCCTCACTTGTCACTCCCATTCTGTCTTATGCTGTTACAAGTCACGGAGAGGCCATCACCCCGCCATAATGCCAGTGGCCACGTGGCCCACTCGAGCCAAATCATAGGGCCTCTCAAAGCTGCTTGGCAACTAGCAGGGCATCACCAGTCATGTAACTACCTAATAGTTTCGCCGCTTGGCATTAGCTACATCAACCAGTTGGGAATTGTCCCAGGTAACCTTCTATTTTTTTTTTTTTTTTTGTAGCATGTCACAACTACCCGAAGGTGGGGAAGAACTGTCTATCTCCAGTACACTGGCAAGATTGGTCACACCATCTTGTGGTGGCGACACTGCGAGCCCTTCATCCCTCAGATCATGGACTATCCCTAGGATCACTGCTGCATTAAGAAAGAGGAACATTCCTTACCCAGCTATGGCCAGGAAAGCCGAATTATATAGACTTCTTAATATTCAGACTGATAACACTGGGGTAAGAGAAGGGTCTAGTAGCAGTCAGACTTCTGATCTGCAAGCGGTATTGACATCAGTCCTGACCTCCTTGGGTCGTATTACCGACAAGTTTGATAGGATGGATGCAGATAGCCAGCGGAATTCTCCCGAGGCTCTGGGGAATCCTGACGCTGTGATTCTCCCCGGCCCCCTACCTGGTAATATTCCTAGAGGTCCTAAAGACCCTCATATTAACCCGGCACACATGGTGCCAGCTAACATAAGGAAGGACATCTTGGAAGGGAAGGATGTCAATCTGATATCACTTCTCACTGCCTCTCAAGATGTCCTTGAAAACAAAACATATGCATATGGGGACGTGTCTGTTGTTAAAATCCAGGGACCCTAGGCTGAATCGCAAGCTATCCATACCTGAATTTGTGTTGGCTTTTGGGATCTACAGGGACGTGATATGCTCTGTATATCCCAATAGGATGGAAGAATTGGATCTCTACCTCCACAAGCTGGTGGATTTGGGGCACAGTATGGTGGCGATTACCACCGTGCTTTCTCCGCAAAGGCGTTGACAGCTCTATCCCAGTTTAATTATCAAGCTGATTTGGAGTGTGCTAGATACAGAGCTTTTTTGTCCACATTTTGCGGGCCTAAAGACACCAGCTTGGTTTCATTTTATATGCCTACGGGAGTCATAGAATGTAAAAACTTGCAGACAGCCCTGGCTGATCCTGACACGATTAACCTACTGCTCAAGAAAGAAAGTCCAAGGGTTCTTAATAGGCCCTTTCGACTCTCCGCAGTATGGAGAACTAACCCATAGGACTGGTCACGGGTAAATCCTCCAATAAGCAAAAGTTGATTATTGACCTCTCTGCTCCCCATGCATCACCTACCAAGTCTTAACTCACTTATTCCATCAGAAGAATTTTCACTCCAATACGCAACCATAGGTAATGCTATCAATGCCATTCTCTCATTCTTCTCTGGGGTGAGAGCATAGCTTAGCAAAACGGACATAGTTAATGCATTCAAGCTACTCTGTATCCACCCGTCCCTGTGTCGTTTACACGGTGTTAAGTGGCAAGGTACATACATTTTTTTTTTTTTTTCTCACGTTTGAGCGCATCCTTTCAGCCATTGACCATTACCTAGCAGGGGGTTCTTGTAATTGGAAGGAGTTGCAATCCCTGTTGGGGTCACTTAATTTTGCGACGAAAATTATACCACAAGGGCGAGCTTTCATATCCCGATTACTTATTTCCCCAATTGCAATCTGAGTCCTCCCGCATTACGTTAGACGTACATGCCACCGCTGACCTACGCATGTGGAGGGAATTCTTGCTGCACTGGAATGGGAGAATAATTTTCGTTCCAGTTTTGATCTCTATTTCAGGAGTTCCAGGCGGCACTACCAACAGCTGCACTGATACCGACCCCAGTACCGCGGTGGCAGGCGATGGTTCTGGACTTCTCACAACTTGGTCTTTCTTCTAACACCAGGAAAGCATATGGCAGGGCTTTTCATATATTTAATAGATTTTTGCTTGACGTCAACATCATATACAAATTTTCCATGTAAAACAATTATTGCCACCTTCACCTAACACTTTCCTTCAACACCATTAAATTATATATCACCGGTATTTAACACCACATCCTCACCACTGGGCCTAATAAACAACGCTTACCAGGTGAAAGCCAAACTAAAAGGTATCAAGGACTCCACACCTACACCCACGCAATCCAGGTTACCCATCCACGATCTCCTGTTCCAGTCACTTTCAAACCTTTTTGATACCTCACCATTTGAAAACACATACAAATAAAGTCATTAAAACTGCCATCTATTTAGCTTTTTACGGTTTTCTTCGGCCCAGAGAATTTACCACTGCTAACTACAACACCCCCAACTTCATCACACGATCACTATTTACTGTCTCTACATCATACAAAAACTGATGTCAAGGGTCACTATTACGTATTACCCCACTAGTAATAAATGGTGCCCCGTGGAAGTCTTTGATCAATCCCTTTCTTCCTTTTCAACGGCACCACATCAACCACTGCTGGCATTACACGGTAAAACTCTTACTACTAGTAAGTTCATGTTCTATGTGAGAATGTTATTAATACGGTTGGGCTTGAATCCCGCCAAATATTCAGGTCACTCATTCCGAATAGGAGCGGCTACTACAGCATCTAAGAGGAAAATTCCTGCGCACATCATGAAAATATTAGGCTGGTGGAAGTCTAGTCTTACACCAGATACATACCGCAACCAGTACAGGAGGTACGCCTAGCATTCAAGAGTATGATTGTGATAATCTTATGGTGTATTGTAGGCTGAATAAACTGGTTACATTTTTCTTTTTATTTCAGGCCTACTGCATTGTCAGTTCCGGCACACCACAACTGACTTTTCTCATCCCCTGTTTGGTTTATGTTACTAACTCTACGGCTTAATGCCCTGATCACAAATGGAAGACAGGGTCTGAAGTTGTGGGAAGGGCTTGGTTCCCCTTCTTAAAGGGACGCTATAGTCACCTGAACAACTTCAGCTTAATGAGTTTGTTCAGGTGAGAATTATAGCTCCCTGTAGCCTTTCTCATGTAAACACTGTATTTTCTGAGAAAATACAGTGTTTACATTGAAAGCTAGGAACATCTCCAGTTGCAGTCACTAAGAGTGAACCAGAGGGACTTCGGAGTTGATGGAGGCATACTATGCCTCCATCCACTCAGATCTGCTGTCAGCAGAGCACAGGGCAGCACTGTGCACAGCAGTCTGTGATTCAGTGTCTCCTCCCTCTGCATGCAGACACTGAACTTTCCTCAGAGATTCATTGATTCAATTCATCTGTAAGAGGAGATGCTGATTGGCCAGGGCTGTGTTTGAATCATGCTGGCTCTGCCCCTGATCTGCCTCTTTGTCAGTCTCAGCCAATCCTATGGGGAAGCACTGTGATGGATCAGGCTACCACATGTCAACAGACTGCTTGTTTTTCTGAGTCTAACAGCATGCATATTTACAGCTTCAGGCTTGAATACAGTAAGATTTTTACTATATTTATGAAGGCATGAGGGGCCCAGGGGGACTAGATGGTGGTGTTAACACTATAGGGTCAGGAATACATGTTTGTGTTCCTGACCCTATAGTGATCCTTTAAAGGAACACTATAGTCACCTAAATTACTTTAGCTAAATATAGCAGTTTTAGTGTATAGATCATTCCCCTGCAATTTCACTTCTCAATTCACTGTCATTTAGGAGTTAAATTGCTTTGTTTCTGTTTATGCAGCCCTAGCCACACCTCCCCCGGCTATGATTGACAGGGCCTCCATGAAAAAACGAAAACTGGTTTCACTTTCAAACAGATGTAATTTAAATTAAATAATTGTATTTCAATCTCTAAATTGAACTTTAATCACATACAGGAGGCTCTTGCAGGGTCTAGCAAGCTATTAACATAGCAGGGGATAAGAAAATCTTAATTAAACAGAACTTGCAATAAAAGCCTAAATAGGGCTCTCTTTACAGGAAGTGTTTATGGAAGGCTGTGCAAGTCACCTGCAGGGAGGTGTGACTAGGGTTCATAAACAAAGGGATTTAACTCCTAAATGGCAGGATTGAGCAGTGAGGCTGCAGGGGCATGTTCTATACACCAAAACTGCTTCATTAAGCTAAAGTTGTTCAGGTGACTATAGTGTCCCTTTAAGAATCACCTGCCCTTCCCTCACTACAGTCTCAGGTCTGGAGACTTGTCCCACCCACCACTCCTCCTTTTATAACAATTTCATAAGGTGTGCCCTCTTTTATTTTAGGCCTACTGCATCGTCCGTTCCGGCACACCACAACTGACTCTTCCTATCCCCTGTTTGTTTTATGGTACTAACTCTACGGCTTAATGCCTGTGATGAAGTGCCCTTCGCCACGTGTGCCTGGAGGGGACTACTGGCTAGCCTCCTGCCTTCCGACTATGGCCCCTGTGCTGATAGCTGTATTTTACCCTGGAGAAAGGTTTATTTGTGTATTTCTACCGGGGCGTTCGGGACTTTCAGTATGTGAGTAGTGCTACCCCAGATAGCTATGCCATGGCGATTGAACTGTATGTAGGTGATCTGAGCGCCATTCGGTAATAATGTGCGCTCAGATCTAAGCTATCTGGGGATATGTTGCATGTATATGTTTTATGTAGTAATTGTAACATTGTGTAATTTTATGTCCTTTTGTAACCATGTGGTTAATGGAGTCTTGCCTCTGTCCTGGGAGATAATTTGATTACTTCCCAATTATCTCCAGGATAGAGAGGAGGGATTGTGATGTCACTGTGAGAGTGTTTTGTTTGTATTGTCTGTGATTGGCTAATATCCAATATGTGTCCCATTGTTCAATCAGGTCCCCTAGGGGAGTTTCCACCTGGTGGACACTTGCATAAATACCAGACAGGTAGCCCTCAATAAACCAGACCTACTTGCACCTTTCTTGAAGCCTTGGCTCATGCCTGGGGGAAGGGATACCTACACTCTAGGGATTGCTATAATCACTTACTCCCCAGAGTAAGCTCTTGTAAGAGCTTGATTTGTTCCTGCTATTCTCTCTGGATTTAGGAGAGGTTCACCCACTTGGAGCTGGATCCTGGTCGTGGATCCAGGGTGGGTGAGAGACGGCGAGACCTCGGCGCAGCTGCATCGCTGGAAGTGGGGTCCGCAGTGCTGATGGTGTCTGTTGGAGTGCTCGGAGTCCTCGGCAAGCGCTAGGAGAATCGATTGGCGGAGGTACTCAGTCGGAGTGCCAGCGGTCCGTCACAATGCCCTGATTACAAGTGTGTGTGTGTGTGTGTATATATTTTTTAACCTTTTTCTGCCCTGCTCCTGGCAACAAGCCATAGTTTGCAGCAGTTACACCTTATTCTGTCGCTGACAGGGATTCTGAGCCTCCGTTATGGTTGGGAGATTGGGACATCTTGTTCTGATACAGTGCCTCCACTCACTGCAACTTCTATTTATGGGGAACTCATCCCACTGAATAGATGAGTACCCTTCACTTAATAATACCTCAGAGACCTGAATTAAATACAGACATGGGAATACAGACCGTATTGTGGTTAATGTTAAATGATGATAAAGTCCCTAATGTAGGAATGATGCAGTCCTAAGAGTCTTTAGCAGCAGGAATGCAGACAACAAACTTCCGTTAATAACGTCAATAACTACAGTTAAACTCATAGGTACCTGCAGGTAAATTATGTGCACAACGTTGTTTACCCAACGCGCTACCCAGATACAGTTATAACAGAGAATCCTGAAGCAATCTCTGGCGACATTACCTTTGAATGACTTCTGTAACTGCAGATATCTCCAGAAAGATCCAGCAGAATGTAGGACAGCAGCAAAACGGCAATGGCAGTCCTTTCTCTTCCTTCTGCTGACAGAATGCCTAAAGCTCCTTCACAATACTGCAGAAAGTTCCAGAATCTGCAGGGAGCTGAACATTAAAGGACCACTATAGTGCCAGGAAAACATACTAGTTTTCCTGGCACTATAGTGCCCTGAGGGTGCTCCCACCCTCAGGGACCCCCTCCCGCTGGGCTCTGGGGAGAGGAAGGGGTTAAACTTACCTCTTTCTCCAGCGGGGAGCTCTCCTCCTCTTCGGCTGCGTGCGCGGCAGGAGCTGCGCGCGCATTCAGCCAGTCTCATAGGAAAGCATGGATGCTTGCGTCTTCTCACTGTGATTTTTTTTTTTCCACAGTGAGAAGCACGCAAAAGCTTCTAGCGGCTGTCAATGAGACAGCCACTAGAGGCTGGATTAACCTATTTATAAAACCGTTTATAAAAAATAGGGTTAACCCTAGCTGGACCAGGCACCTAGACCACTTCATTAAGCTGAAGTGGTCTGGGTGCCTATAGTGGTCCTTTAAAGGGACACTATAGTCACAGAGACCACTTCAGCTCAATGAAGTGGTCTGGGTGCCAGGTCTCTCAGGTTTTAACCCTTCACATGTAAACAAACCTGTTTTTCCTGACACTGTCATCCTTGGGGGATCATCACCCTCAAAGTCCCCCTCCCGTGGCACTGAAGGGGTTATAATACCCCTTCAGCAGCTTACCTTTATCCAGCGCCAGACACTATAGCATCCTGACATTATAGCATCCTTAGGTCCCCCTCCCTTGGTGCTGAAGGGGTTAAAACCCCTTCAGTTACTTACCTTAAACCAGCACAGGGCTCCCTTTGCGCTGGTGACCTCTCCTCCCACTCCGACGTCAGCTCCCGAGTGGAGCGGAATGCGCATGCGCGGCAAGAGGCACGTGCGCCTCCATTCAAACAGTCAATAGGAAAGCATTTTTTCAATGCTTTCCTATGGACGTTCTGCACGCTAATTTTCTTTTACTAACTCTTCCTGACATTACTGACTGTATTACTAAACTATTCATATATTACTAATTAATTTACTTATGTTATTACTACCTTTTACTTCAGCTCTATTTTTTTTTTTCTCTCCCTCCTTTTTTTTCTTTGCTCTATATCAATTATAAATTATGCCCATTATTTATTATTTCCAGTACTCTCTGACTTGATGCCTTGAAGTTTATTCTTTCTTTTGACATTGACTGGAGACATTTATTAAGCTAATCCAGATTAACCGCTAAACATCAGTCACAGTTAATTATTGTTGTTCCCTAGTTTAACCGTATAAATCTGCTAAAATGAACTTTTCTTTTAGTGTATCTCTTTAATGTTGAGACTGTATTACATCAACAAATATATACTAGTCAGGGTTACTGCTGTGATTTCTAACAGCCTCTGGAAAGCTTATATTATCTGGTTGTATTCATTGATTTTTTTATTTATTTATTTTTATTTTTTTTATTTGACGTGCACCCATTTCGACATTGATACTTTACCACACTTAGAATTAGATATGTTTTAATAGGCTGCTATCATAATTTCCAATAGCAGTCTCTGGCAAGCATCTATGATCCTGTTGCCTCTGCCATTGACCCTCTTGAGCCACCGTAGCTCACTATCCCATACCTTTGCAAATTGGACCAATCAGGACCAGGGGCGGGCTATTTAAACCTGACACACCGGGGAGTCAGTTCCCCCTGATGAGCCGCAGTTCTGCAAAACGCGCATAGGGGCTCCTATACTGACCACCGGTTCCTGTGTTTATTCTTTACTTTGATATTGACTGGAGACATTTATTAAGCTTATTCAGATTAACTGCTCTCACAGCAATCGGGCATGGACCGCAGTTTTGCACGGAGTTAGCTAGCTTGAAATTCTCCCCAGCATCAGACAGGTGCCTTCGAAGGCACAGACTAGGGATTGACTAGCTAGTACCTTAGTTGATATCCTGCATGGTTAGTCACCGCTATCGCGTTCCTTTAAACGTTCATAATATAACAAAAGGAAAAAAAACTAAAACACAAAAGTTACTGTACTTCAAAGAAACGTTTAGTCCTTTGCCAGCCACAAAGCACTTCTATTCGGTTATCCCCTTTGTTTAGGCTGTGAAGTTCTAATTATCAGTGGCGTCTGCATTAGAAAGCAGATATAAGGGAATAGCTGAAGCCACTTCAAATACCTCCCCCCCAACTTAGATAAAACATGGTTAAAAGCAAGAGGAAACCTAAATCAAACTTTAGCAACTCCTTAAAATCCTGCACCATAAATTAAAAAGTAGTCCATGTCTTATCTCCGGTACCCTTTCCTCTCCACAGTTAGACACTACCATTACGCTAGGACGTCCTACTCTGTATTTGACTAGACAGACGTTAAGTGAACCCCTACTGTATCAGTGTTAGTAGTAATGTCCTGTTGGGCTATTCACTTGTTCTTGCTTATCGGGGATTTGAGTATCTGTTTTATGCGCTCTGGGTGTTCAGCTGTTACAATATTTTTCCTTGCTCTTTTTGACGATCCGTATACACAGTTTTCTATTATCATATTTAACTATCGTTCAGGGAACAGCCATCAGGAATTAGAGGGGTTTAGCCGTTCTTACAGCCGTAACATTCCTCTTACGTTTATTTTGGATTATTACGATATATAAATTTTTTTGCTCCGCCAGTGGAGATATATATATATATATCTCCTGATACCCTAGATGGGTATCTAATCGATAGATATGGGATACCTTACATCTAGCAAACTTAGTGTGCTCTGATGACTGCTTAGATCCATCTGAATTTTGAACTGTGATGACGTTACAGATATCGCTTACTGAGTAAATACTAGCTATTGTGATACTTCAGACTGACACAGTATTGCTGCATCCTACTGATACCTATTAGGGTGCTAACCACTGTAACATTGTGGCATTGATTTTTGCCACCATTCACGTCTCCTCCTGTGTCAACATATCTAGTTCTTTTCTAGTTATTTACTGGGGTGTATTTGTAAACCCCATAGGTTTTTTCTTTCACCCAGCATTTAACATTTCTGTTTTACTTCGTTTCTCGGCACATTACTTTGACCCATGTTCATTCAGTAAATTAGAGCTTTTTGCCACATTATATTTCTTGAATGTGGTAAACTGAAGCATCTATATAGAGATGTTTGTCTTGTGTAGTTTAGTATTTGTTAAAGTGTTTTTTTTAAAAAAAATTTTAAATCTATTTTTGGGACAGATTTTCTCTTCTGTTTTTTTTTTTTTTTATGGTTCCTCTCAGGGTTATCCCCTTATATGATCCCATTCCATTACAACTGCACAATTGTGGGGCTACCCATTCTCAAACATTCTGCACGCTGGATGCAAATTTAGCATCCAGCATCGCAGAAGCGCCTCTAGCAGCTGTCAAGAAGACCGCAACTAGAGGTTGGATTAACCCTGCCATGTAAACATAGCATTCTCTCTGAAACTGTTTACATCTGAAGGGTTAAAACCTGGGGGACCTGGCACCCAGACCACTTCATTGAGCTGAAGTGGTCTGGGTGACTACAGTGTTCCTTTCATATTTCAGTCAAAGTATGCAATACATTGATTAACTTGGTGCAAGTGTGGGGGTTCTGAGAATATGTAGGTTCCCCAATGTTGTTATAGGTCAAGAATTTTGTGGCCCTCCAATTTCTTCTGCCTCTACCTAGGTTGCTCGGTGGTTGTCCACTAATTTCTTCATCACATGGTCCTTCACCCACACCATTGGGAAGGGATCTGGTATACAGAGGTCCAGGTCCTCGCATAGAGCTAGTCCATAACTAGTGAATGAGGGACAAAGCTTGGACTTTCAGGATTCAGTCCGGATGAGGAGGAAGAAGGAGCAGAGGTAGAAGGGACCAACTGTGTTTCTGGCGCTGTCCACCAGTCTCTTTCATGGCTGGAAGCTGTAGCTTCTTTTTTATCATTAGTTGGTGATGTCCCGTTGGGACTTTTTTTCCAAGGTTGTCTTCTGAGTCAGTTTCTAAGGAGAGGCTGTATGCTGAAATTCTTATTGGAGTTGCCAGTGTTTTCCTCCAAATTAGAATCTTCACCAGAGAAGGTAATAGGTAATTTCTATGCCAAGCGTTGATCTTACCCTCCGGCCCTTGGATTCGATATACAGGAATCCAGGAACTTTAGAAATGACCTCAAAGAGAGCGTCTCTCCAGCGATCTGCTAATTTATACTTCCCTGGAACTCCCAGGTTTCTCAAGAGTACTTTCTCTCCAGGCTGAATGTCTTTGTAATGTACTTTGGGATCATATCTTCGCTTGTTATTTTCATTAATCTTGTCAGTAGCTTTCTCAACCAATTCATAGGCCCTTTGTAAACATTCTTTTAAATTCCTAACATATTGATTATGAGAAGTGTTACAAACTGCCTTTTGTAACGGTTATTTCATGTGACAAATTGCCCTGTCCTCCTGGCTTGTGGAGAAGCCTGATTGCCAGCCTTCTGCCTCATGACTATGGCCCTGGGGTGGATGGCCCTTTAAGAACAGTCTGTGGGCATGTTGTGACTTTTGTGAACAATGCCCTAGACCCTTAAAATACTTTTATTCATGGCTTCTTCCCACTTGGTTCGGTAAATGGGACTTACTGAACCAAGTATTACATAGGCGGACCACACAGAAGTCGAAGTGTGCGGCCAATTTACGGTTACTGTAGGTTAATTGGCGACCGCTGGGTGGCCGCCGTTCGTACAGTCGAACGCAGTCAGCGGTGTGTGCAGCCAAATCCATGGAACTAAAATCGGCTACCCATTTGTGTGAACACCGCTGACCCGTACCTTCTCCTCCACTTTGACGCTTTGGTTAAAGTCGAAGTGAGTTCGACGGTTCGAACGCCATGTTATACTGTGCTATTTGCACGAACGGTATCCGTTCGTGCATTCGAATGGGACTTTGTTAATTTTCTGTGGGAAATAGACCGACCGCACAGCCCAGATCTATGGAACTGTATTGGGCAGGAAAGCATGCTTGCGGTCGGTCAAAAAGAACTTCCAGCTAACTTTTTAACCACTGGAGGGAATTGTCTGTCTGAATTTTGGGTATGTTTGTATTTTAAGTATGCTGATTAATAATATGTAACTTTTTATGGAGATTGGATGTATATTTTAGGAGTTATAAGAATTGTGTAAAAACTGTAGTTTACTGCCTGTGATAATTACATTAACGCATTGTGTACAGTAATTATATCACAGGCAGAGGGGAGGATCTTGTGGGAATGAATGGGAGTGTTTTACTGTATTGTAAGTGTTTTATTGATCTACAAAACCCTGTGGGTGATACCTTATGTGTAAAACTTGCATAAAAGAAAGGCCTTTGGTGCTGATTAAACAGAACTGCTTGACCATCTAACTCGCAGCCTTGACTCGTGTTTGTAGGAGACAGCTATAATCACTACAGGGATTGCTATGCTCTGCATACTCCCTGAGCTAATGAGTTCTTGTAAGAGCTCTTGCTCCTGATCCTGCTTCGTTCTACAGAAGGAAGAGGTTCACCTACTGGAGCCTGGACAGCGAGATACCAGCCCAGCAGCGGTGGTTCGTGGAGTCTGCAGTGTTTATGGTGTCTATGATGCTGATGGTCTTTTGGTGAGCGCTAGGAGCATCCTTTCTACGGTCCAACTTTCAGCTAGCCTGGAGGCATCTGTAAAAAGAAGCATGGCTCATACCATCAGAAGACACTCCCAAACTGATATCAATGGGCAGTTTTGCCTCCCGGCCAAACATCAGAAAGTAAGGGGAAAAACCCAGTGGATTCATGTTTGGTACAATTGTAAGCGTGTACCAGAGTTTCTACATGTTGACTCCAATTCCTCTTCTCTACACCTTTTTAAGAGTGCCTAACATTACCAATAGAGTTTGATTGAAGCTCTCCGGGAGATCTCCTTCAGGATGATATGGAGTCGTCCTAGTTTTCTCAATCTGTAACAGTCTCCGTATTTCTTTAATTAATCTGCTTTCAAAATCTCGACCTTGGTCAGAAGTTAATTATTTAGGAAACCCATAATGGGTAAAGAATTTTTGCCATAACACTTTATTGACTGTAACTACTTGCTGGTCCTTGGTAGTGTAGGCTTGAGCATATCGAGTAAAAAGATCTGTAATCACCAACACGTTGCTGTTACCAGTAGTCCGGTTCACTGGATAGGAAGTCCATACACACGAAGTCCATAGGGCCAGAACTTGTTACGTGACTCATTGGGGCAGCGTGGGTAGGTAAAGTCTTCTGCACCTTCGGCAATAGATCTCCACAGATTTTCTCATGTAGGGCCAGTAGAATCAATCCTGGATTAGGCCAAAAGTCTTGTCAATTCCTAAATGGCCATGGAAGTCATGTAGAGATCAAAGCATCATTCCTCTGAACTTTTGAAGGAGGACCAACTGTTTTTGGCCAGGGTGATCATGGCATTGTATGACTCTGAATAGCATTCCATTTTGAATATGGGATAGACTCCCACTCCCTTTTAAAATGGTTTCGTAGTTCAACAGGCAAATCCTTCATATACTGGAAATTCTGTTTCTCCATAGCCTTGATGAGACTGCCAATTACCTGGGGCTTGAGCTTGTGGGTTTTTTTGTTTTTTTCTCATCTAAGCTGATAAAAGACCATTCAGGCATAGTAATTGGATGACACCTGACTTCAGGAATTGCCTTGGGGGTACAACTAAGAGAATCAATACATCTAAAATCAGAAAAATTGACCCATCTATATTCCACAATAAAAGTCTGACATAGGGCTCTGACTCCTGGGCCTGGAATCTCAACTCACTCCCCATCTTCATTGGTAATAGACAATCCAGGCCTCCTAGATAGAGCATCTGCCCCCAAATTATTAGGGCCTGGCTTGTATTTTAAAGAGAAATCATAGTTGGATAGTGCTGCTAGCCACCGGTGTCCTGTGGCATTCAACTTGGCTGTGGTTAAGATGTAGGTAAGAGGGTTATTGTCCGTCCTCACTTCAAACTTAGCACCATACAAATAATCATGCACAATAGCCCACTTCAGAGCAAGAAACTCCAACTTGTGTACTGGGTAGTTCTTTTCACTTCCAGTAAGACTCAGACTAATATATGCGACTGGCCTCAAGCCTTCAGGGTATGCATGATTGATCACCCCTCCTAGATAAACTAGACATTCTCTAGGGCTCATATCTCCTAGAGTCTTCTCCATTAATTGCACTATTATTTGCTATTTATTTTTTCCTCTTTATGATGACTCATCGTGAGCAATTGAAAGAACCTACCGTATAATTTTCTGAAACTTGTACTGTATGGTGCACTTATTTGTAACATTTTGTGCTCCACTTATTTTTATGTTTTGGTTTCTATTGGAAATGGGTGTGGTTAAACTGTTTGTAAAGTGGATGAGTTGGCAATATAGCTACGCCCACATGGTTGGGGGGGGAGCAAAATATTATTGCACAGAGTTGTCAATGATACTATGGTCTATGCATATTTTGAAACGCTAATGTAAAGCATTATTGCAAACCGGGGTTAAAAAGTGCTTCTTCAAAGAATATACTGCAATAATTACCACTCAAGGCTTAAAGGACCACTATTGTGCCAGGAAAACAAGCTTTTTTTCCTGGCACTATAGTGTTAATAGGCTCCCGCCGGGCTCCAGAGGGGTTAAGGGGTTAAACACTTGCCTTTCTCCAGCGCCGGGCTCCCTCAGCGCTGGGGACTCATCTCCCTCTTCCGACGTCATCCGCCACATGCGCGGAAAGAGCCACACGCGCATTCAATCAGTCCATAGGAAAGCATTTCTCAATGCTTTCCTATGAACGGCAGCGTCTTCTCACTGTGAAAATCACAGTGAGAAGTGCCTCTAGCGGCTGTCACTTTGATTGCCACTAGAGGCTGGATTAAATCCAATGTAAACATAGCCGTTTCTCTGAAACGGCTATGTTTACACCTGCAGGGTTAGCCCTAGATGGACCTCTCCCCCAGACCACTTCATTGAGCTTAAGTGGTATGGGTGCCTATAGTGGTCCTTTAACCCCGTAAGGACCGGCCTGTTTTGGCCATGTTGTACGTTAAGGACCAGAGCGGTTTTAAAACTTTTGTGGTGGTTGCGTTTAGCTGTAATTTTCTGCTCTTATTTACGGTTCCCATACAAATTATATAATACCATTATTTGTATCATGTCATATACTTTACTTTAAAAAAAAAAAAAAAATCTATGGTGAAAAATTTTTTTTTGAATTTTTACTTGAAAAATCTTTTATCTTCAAAAGCTAATGGGGAAAAAACTGCTAAATAGATTCAAAACTTTGTCCTGAGTTTAAAGCGGTACTGTCATGCCAAACTTACCTTTCCTCAATCTTTTCCTCTTCTCCCCCTCTCTCAGGATCTGTTCTTCTTTAGTTTTCATTAAAATCATAAGACAAAGTAGGGACTCTTTGCCTTATGGAGGATTCCTCCGCTTGACCAGCTCTGACCAGCGGAGGAGCAAAGTGTGCTTCATTTCCGCTGGTCAGAGCAATTTTCCCATGATCCTTACCTTTCCTCTGTGTTCCCGCGATGCTTCATGTCACTTTACACGAAACTGCCGAATTGCGTTCTAACAGAATGAGAACAGTATGTTCGTTTCTTTTAGAACGCAATTCGGCATTTTATTCGGATCACAATTTCATTCGAATGAATGAAACTCCGATCCTATTCATGCTGTGGCTGCACCTTGCAGCTGCTTAATAGCTAATTCCTTAATTCCCACGGTATCAGGGAGTTATCTACTAAAAGGCTGAAAGACCTAAATTGGTCTTTCAGCCACATTTACTAATACCAAGTAAAAATTACTTGGTATTAGTAAATAATATGCCCCTACTCGCTATACCACGAGTAGGGGCATGTCTGGTAAACAGTGAGCAGCCTGTGGCTGCTCACTGTAAAAACAAAAAACTATTCGCCCCCACCCCTAAACGACGGGTGGGGGCCCTAAAGTAAAATAAAGGGGGAGACCTAATGTCCACCCATCCCCCGGCCCCCACACCTGCGCGGTGGGTTGGGGTCATAATGATAATGGGGGGCTCCTGCCCTCCCCCCGGCCCCCACCCCTGGGCGGCGGGTGGGGGCCATAATGATAATGGGGGATGGGGGGACCTACTGTCCACCTCCCCCTCCAGCCCCCACCCCTAGTCACCCACCCCCCCCACCCAAATAAAAAGTCCCTGCCTATCCCCCTCACCCTAAAAAATTGTGAGGGGGGAATAAAATAACTAACCTGTCAAATAAAATTAAACTTACCATTCTCAAATCTTCATTTCTCAAATCTTCATTTTTCTCAAATCTTCATTTTTCAGCCCCAAAAAAGGCCAAATAAAAAACCATCATAACTGTCGAATTGAAAATAAAATAAAACCAGAGCACAAAAAAAATCCATCTTCACCCATGGAGGGCTCCGCGCAGACTGAGCTATGCAGGGCGGGGGAAGGCTTATAAATCCTTGCCCCGCCCTGCAATTAGACTAAGATCACTCTGATTGGTGGGTTTAAGCCAATCAGAGTGCTCTTTGTCATTTTACACAGCGTTGGAAAATTCAAATGAACTTTCCCACGCTGTGTAAAATGACACAGAGCACGGTGATTGGATGGATTTCAATAGTGACATTGTAACACTGTTATCTGTTATAAATCTCTGAATCACACCTCACATCTACAATTTTTTTTAAATTAGACTGTAGCGGAGATGCAATATTCCCCAGGTTATCTCCGCTTATAATCCAAGTGAGGCTCAGGAACAAGTAAATAATAAATCCATAGGCAAAGTTTCCAGCAGGTAAAACAGCAGCAATATCCCCACAGCAATCCCAATAACTGGACGACACACAGTTTCAGGAGCAGAACTGACAAGCCTTTAATCACAGTCTCCTTATAAAGCATGCTCCCATGCAAGGGAGGGATTTACAGTAATTATTACAGTAGCCAATCCTGTCCTGGTAACCTCCCACACATCCCCTCCCCTCAGCCAGCATCATAATCCCCTTATCCAGCACACCAATTCCCCCCGTTTCTGGATGTACCCCTAAACGTAGGGGTACCCCTTTAAATCATACATCCCCTGGTAGCCCTGATCTGGGTGACCAACATATCCAAAAATCACCCAGATCAGACCAGGGGTTCGGGAAAAGTATGGAGGGAATAAAGTGACCGACCGCACGAACAGAGATAGCCGAATCCGGTTCCATGTGAATGGGCCCTGCGGTCGGTCCTGGCATAAGGGAATAAAATACACGAAAACCTCTAGCTATAGAGGCTAGGGAGGGTTCGCCTGAATCCCCTCGTTCGGTATTTTCTATCTACCGAACGAGGGGCCGTTCGGTAGTTTGGAACCGAACGGACCAGGGCTGTGGAGGTCTCAGCGGTGTTCGCCTACTCGAGTGTCCGATTTTAGTTCCAGACACTCGACGGCAAAACACCGCTGTTCGGGAGTTTTAAAATGGCCGCCGCCACGTGTTCGTTTGTCGAATGGCGGCCACCCCCGAGAACAAAGGACGGCTACTTCCTAGTCAATTACCCGTTCGCAACAATGTTGCAACGGGTAATTGAGGACACACTTTACACAGGGGAGGTCTGGTTGTTCGGTAGTTTCATTCGAATAAACTAAGGGAATGAAACTACCGAACAATCAAAAGAATACAAGGCTTTAAAACACATAGAAAACTAGCAGATCACACGAATGCAATTATTTCAAGGACATTTGCAGGACAGCCCAGTGCCATCCGCTACATAGACAACCCAGGATATTCAATATGGGGTATGTCCAGTCTTTATTAGCCACTTAGTCACAAACACTGGCCAAAGTTAGCATTTATATTTGTTTGTGTATTAAAAATGCAAAAAACTTTAACTTTGGTCAGTGTTTGTGACTAAGTGGCTACTAAACAAAGGCTGAACATACCCCCATTTGTCTTCTTTTGCAAATGGTTTGCCATCATTGGGGTAATTCTCATTCTTGGTCTACCATAGGGTCTCAAAGGCAACATAACCAATCTGACAAATTTCAATGAAAATAAAAAAAGTAAAATCAAGCCTTATATTTGACCCTGTAACTTTCAAAAACACTCTAAAACCTCTACATGTGGGGTACTGTTATACTCCGGAGACTTCGCTGAACACAAATATTAGTGTTTTCAGAACAGTAAAACGTATCATAGCAATAATATCAGTGAAAGTGGTGTGTGTGTGTGTGAAAAATGGAAAAAACTTCATTTTCACTGAGTTCCATTTTCAAAATGGTAGATCACACCAGCAAGTGTTTTTATTTCTACCGTTATTTAAAAATTATTTTTTAATACTGGTGTCAATTTCCAAATGTTGGGCCATTTGGTTTTTGGAGCCGGTCTCCATAAGTTTCAATTTAAAAATAGTTACCAAACTACAACTCATTGACTTTACTTGAACAAATATTAATATACAGTAGGTACTTAGGTGCCTAACTGGTTACAATGAAAAAAAATATTCATATGATAAAGGATATTTTCAGTGCCTATGTAGAGATTCATGACAGTTTTATTTTAATATTGCTTCAAAACAGTAAAACATATCACCGTGATATGTTTTACTGTTTTGAAGCACTAATATTTTTGTTCAGCCAAGTCTCAAAGTAAAACAGTATACCCCATGTACAGGTTTTAGGGTGTCATAGAAAATTACAGGGTTAAACACAGTGCTAGCAAATTAAAATCTCTGGACTTTCGGCCTAGGTTGTCAGGCATGTCCCTCAAATTGCAATCAATAAAATTACTTAATTATGTAAAAATATTACATAATTATGCATGTAGAATTTAAATATATGTAATTATGTATATTTCTTATTTTTTTATTTATACATATATCACTTCATTCTAAGTGTATTTTGAGATATATATATCTATCCCCCTTGTTGGAATAAAATTACATATATATAATTTTTAAAATATTATTAAATGTTTTTTTCCCTTTTTTATTTACTTATTTATATTTATTATATATTCTATAAGTGTGTAATTTAAATATGTGTGTTTTTATATCCATATATGTATATATAAAAATACTTAGTTTGCCATTATGTGCATATTTTTTTTTTTTTTTTTCATTTTACACTTGCAGGGAGACTGCCTGTCAGCACAGACAGTCCCCATGCAGGCAGTTACAGGCACCTATAGCAGCCATGTGATGGATCTGTTAGAGCTATCACGTGGGGTCCTGATTTGCTGCGGGGAGACTGCCTGGGCTGCAGGCAGTCTCCCCACACTGGGAGCAACGCCGATTGCCGCCAGGGGAACGACTGCGATCGGGTAAGTACCCCAATACTGTCATGACGGTTCAGGACTGTCACCGGCCCTCAAGGAGATGTTTCTGATGACGGTCCTGAATAGTCATCAGTCCTTAAGGGGTTAAGGATAATGGGAGTTTGCAATGAGCTGAAGTGGTCTGGGTGCCCAGAAAAGCTTTATGTGAGAGTTGGGTTTTTCTTTGTGAAGAGCTTTCCTTTGTCATGTTGATGCTATTTCAGTTTGTATGTGTTTGTTTTGTCTTTTATTAAACAATATTAAAATAAAACTGTCATGAATCTCTACATAGGCACTGAAAATATCCTTTATCATATGAATATTTTTTTTCATTGTAACCAGTTAGGCACCTAAGTACCTACTGTATATTAATATTTGTTCAAGTAAAGTCAATGAGTTGTAGTTTGGTAACTATTTTTAAATTGAAACTTATGGAGACCGGCTCCAAAAACCAAATGGCCCAACATTTGGAAATTGACACCAGTATTAAAAAATAATTTTTAAATAACGGTAGAAATAAAAACACTTGCTGGTGTGATCTACCATTTTGAAAATGGAACTCATGTTATATTTTCTGACAGCCATATTGGATTATGTTTCCAATCTTGAAAAAAATGTCCAAATATATAATGAACTTATCTACTTGCATGTGTTTTATATATGTGCTCTTTTGGGGGGGCAGGGTGTGTGTATGTATTTATAATTTTATTTTAATTTTTTTTTTTTTTTTTTTTAACAGGAATTTTGAATACTATTGCTAAGTTGACAAAGTCATGCACTCTCCGTCTTACAGCCTGCAAGCTTTATTTTATTCTTACTGATAAAGTAACAAATGGAGGAGTCAGCATGTGGTGTGAGCTAAATCAAGTAAGCACACTGTCTTTTGTTGAATGTGGGAACTATTTTAAATAGTGTTTTTCTGTTGCAGCTGTATGAAAGCTGCACTCTTGAGAGAACCAATTATTTAGACCATATTTCAGGTAACCCCTGTGTCAGTTCTGGACAAATGTGTAGAATTTCCTCACAAATTAGGCAAAGCCAATCCAAAGGGTGCTTATTAGTAGGTAACTGGGTCCAAACAAGAAGATTGGTTAGTATTAAAATTCAATGCAGAAAAAGGATAGGGGGCACTCCCGGGACCTAAATTTTGCATGAAAGGTGCTGCCGCAGTGACCAAACTTCATACATAAGAAAATAAATAGTTGCAGCGCACTCAGACTACAAAAAAATAATACAAAGAAGGCTACTAAAATGCCTATCTGAGAATAAATATGGGGATTTAGTTCCACCATATGGCCATATGTTGTTAAGCCCACCACTACTTTCAAAGTACCCCAATATTGGTGGGTCCTACTCTAAAAATGTGGGGGACAAGTTAAATAGTACTAGTGTTAAAATAACAAGTGTTAAATTAAATCCTAATAAGAGCATAGTGAGTATACAAAAATAAGTGATGAAAGCAACTAAAAACAGTGTTAAAACTAAACAAATAATGTGTAAGTGCTAAAATGAGTATACTCACTAATGCAGATGATCTGTGCTGACTAGAATAAAAGTGACTTGACTATTGGAAAACTCCTCCTATATATACACACACCTGTGGCCACCTCTAAAGGAGCCTCTGAAGCTGGGGGGGCCTGGGCGGGGTGCTTAACCCCTAAGGAATCTGGTCTGGATTCCAAATATAATGTATGCAGAAAAAGGATAGGGGGCACTCCCGGGACCTAAATTTTGCATGAAAGGTGCTGCCGCAGTGACCAAACTTCATACATAAGAAAATAAATAGTTGCAGCGCACTCAGACTACAAAAAAATAATACAAAGAAGGCTACTAAATTTATTTTCTTAAGTATTAAAATTCAAGTCTGTCTTAGCAATACAAATTAGAATTTGCACCGTTTATTTATTCCACCATAATTTAACCCCTTAACGATGAATGACTGACCTGGTTCGTCACCCAGGGAAGACCCTTAACGACGGGTGACGGACCAGGTCCGTCATGGGTTAAAATTAACCCCCTGATCGCGGGGATAATTGTGCTCCGGTCTGCCTCTGTATTATAGGCAGACCAGGAGTACCCGATCACGCTGCTCCTGCAGCAGTGCTCGCTCTGACAGGCTGTCAGAGCGAGCACATGTGCTGCAGGCACTTACCATCCGCTTACCTGCGCTTCCGGGTTCTGTGTGTAGTGCAGGGAGACGGATCAGCAGTGATCTGCTTCTCCCTGCAAAAAAATTAATAAAGTTTAATTAAATTCGCACCCCCCCCTTTACCCATTTTAAATAAAAAATTAACCCCTTCCCTGCCAATTGATCACTGACTACAGTCAGTTACGGTCATCTATTTTTTATTTATATTTTTTTAACCCTCAGGGGTTAAATTTATTTGATTCAAATATTTTAAAATTCTATATTTAGCTGGGGTGGTTGGAAGTTAGTTGGGAATTGGGGGATTTGGTATTAGGCTAACTAGGGGTTAACGTTAAGTTTGGTTTTGTTTTTTTAGCTTTAAAAAGTTTAAAGTTTTTATTTTTTTTAATGTTCCAGTTGATCACTGCCTACAGTGATCAAAATACAGATCACAGTATTCTACTGTGAACTAATTTTTTTTTTTTACCCTCAGGGGTTCAATTTATTTAATTTAATTTAATATTTTATTATATATTTTGCTAGCTGGGTTGGGTGGGAGTTATGAGAAAGTGGGGAATTTACTGTTAATGCTGCTTACTGCTAGTTAGGGGTTAACGTTAAAAAAAAAAAAAAAGCTTATAGAAATGTTAAACCTGTTTAAAAAAATAAGCTTTAAGAAAGTTTAGGAAAGTTGTTTTTGTTTTTGTTTTTTTATAAGCAAAAATAAACGCTTGTTACCACTACACTTGGTACAAGCTAGCGGAAAAAAGGATCCCACACTAAGATTAAAAATATTCCTTTTGAAATACCCTGGGATGTCTTCTTTAAGAAATGGTATGCCTTTATGGGGTAGTTGGATTATATAACCTGCTAAAATGGGACATGGACACAGCGTAAAAACTGTTTGAGAAAGACTGGAATGACTGTCTCAAATGTCTCAAATGTGTCCCTTCCATGTCCACATATACCTGGCAAAGGTACTTATGGGGGTATTGCTGTACTCAGCTGACATAGCTGAGAAACGTATTAAGTATTATACGGTCGTAGCACACATACGATTTGCAAAATATACTGTGCAAACTCACTTTGTGTGACAAAAAGGCAGAAAAAACACTTATTACCACTACACATGGTACGAACTAGCGGAAAAATGATCCCACGCTAAGGTTAAAAATATACATTTTGAAATACCCTGGGATCTGTTCCTTCAGAAATTGAATGCCTTTATGTTGTAGTTGTAATATGTAGCCTTCTCAAGTGCTCCAAAGTGAAACACTGATGCATCAAAATCCTCCATGGAAATTCACACTTAAAAACCTGAACTTGTCACGTCTTTTACAGCACTATAACTTCACAAAATAGTGTCTAGGTCATACATTGGGCATATTGTTTTACTCAGAAGACTTAGCTGAGCATAATTTGGGGGGTTTGAACTTAGTGGCACATATGAAATATACAAAATGCCCAGCAAAAATGTAATCTGTATGTAAAAAAAAAAAAATGCCCCAAATTATTTTTTACCACATAATTTGCCATATATTGGTGAAAAAATGGGGGCATGTTAAGGCACATTATGCAGTATATGAGATACCCTGGAGTGTCTACTTTTACAAATGGTAGGCCTTTGTGGGTTTTTTGAACAGTCAAACTGCTATAATACCCCCTATGCTTCATAGGCCCATTAAATCAGTCTCTCAAAATTCTACTGTAAATACTGAAAAGGACAGGTCTCCTATATGGCACTGTAGCTTCACGAAATAGTGCCAAAGACCTACAATGGGGGTATCGTTGTTCTCAGCATATGTAGCTGAACACAAAATAAAACTTTGTACAGGAATAGCACACACCAACTTTACAAAATATACATCAGAAGTTCTTTGTTATAAGTTTGTGTGCCAAAAACAAAAAACCCCACAATTTTACTCCAATATTTAGCAGAGGTTGGCGGTAAAATAGCTATGTAGAAAGTGTCAAAACAAACTTGGGTAAATAGCCTGTGATGTCTACTTTATATAAATATATACTTTTGTGTGGCAATTTTGTTTTCTTTTATGGCTATTAAGCTTACAAGACAAACATACCAAATTCTACAATCGCTCCAAATTAAAAGTTTATTTTACTCCTTGTGCTTTGTAACCTGTAACTACCAAAAAAAAACTTAAAATCTCAGACACATTATATATTCTGTAAATCAGACCAACTAAATGAATTTATTTTTAATTACTTTCATTAACCTGCACTAATTGTGCACACATTATTGCAAAAACTGTAAAAAAAAAAAAAAAAACAAAAACAAAAAAAAACATTTTTTATTTATTTTTTATAAGAAATAAGTATATATGTTACATCAAATTAAAAAAGCCCTTTCTGTCCTTTAAAAAAACAGTATATAATATGTGTCGGTACAATAAATTAGTAAATGCAAATTCCAGTTGAACGCAAACAACAAACAAATGCAAAAATTTCTTGTCATGAAGCGTTAGACAAGCTTCTAAGGGGTTAAGGACTGAGCCAAATGTACATGTTGTAATAAAAACAAAACGTAAACAAAACCTTGAATTGCGCTATATGTCTGTTCAGGCGTAATTCACCTTTTTGGCATTATGTGCACCCACACTTATTGTGTATCATTTTATTCTGGGGAAACAGAGCTTTTATTTAACATCAAATATTTAGGTATGAAACCTAATTCAATATGAATAAAATATTAAAAAAAGGGAAAAAATAAGAATTTAAATTTTTTTTTTTTTTCTTTTTGTTCTACGTGACATTTTAACTGAATGTCATACTGTTTGCTTTTACTGCAATAAAATAAACATTTGTATTCAGCATTGTCTCACGTGTAAAACAGTACCACCTATGTACAGCTTTTATGGTGTTTTGGGAAGTTACAGGGTCAAATATAGCATGTTACTTTTTTTTTCTGTTTTTTTTTTTCACATTGAAATTCGGCAGATTGGTTATGTTGCCTTTGAGACCTTATGGTCGCCCAGGAATGAGAATTACCCCAATGATGGCATACCATTTGCAATAGTAGACAACCCAAGGTATGTCCAGTCTTTTTTAGTAGCCAGTTTGTCACAAACACTGGCCAAAGTTAGTGTTTAACGCGGCACTGTCATGGCCAAATCCCGTGTGGTGTGTGTGGGTTTTTTTTTTTTTTTTTTAACCTCCACCCCCCCCCTTGACTCCACTACATCTAACTGACCCGCAAATGACCCAAAGCCCCCCATATTACCTATTTTTTTTTAACTTTAAATTGTGTTCAGGGTGCCGTCATCTGCCCACACTAGATAGTGCTGGGAGATTCCCGCACATGCCCAGTTAAACACTTGGGCATGTGAACGGGAATTTCATTCATTAATTCGTCAGAAAGATGAATGAGTAGAAATGTCAGATGAACAAACAAACACTTAATATCAGTGTTCGTTCAGTTTATTACAAGGAGGGAGCTACCGGCGTGCAGCTCCCTCCTTGTAAAATGTAAATATAGAAGCAGCAGGGAGGTGTGCTCCCCGCTACTTCCTAAACCCCCCATGTTCGCCCTCACTCTATGGGGAGTCAATCTCCCGAATGCCCCTACTCGCTATAATGCAAGTGTAAAATGACTAGCACTCTGGTTGGATTCCAAGTCAACCAATCTGTGTTCTGAGCCTAATTGCAAGGCGGTGCAAGGCTTTGTAAGCCTTAAACCACCCTGTGGAGCTCAGTCTGCGCCTTGCCCTCGCCAGGTGAAGATAGATTCATTTCTGTAGCATCTGGTTTAATCTTTTTTTGTCTTTTTTTTTTTTTTTTTTTTTTTTTTTTTTTTTTTTTTTTTTTTTTTTTTTTTTTTTTTTTTTTTTTTGTGCTCAGGTTTTTTTATTTTATATTTTACAAGTTTGGGTATTATGGTTTTTATTTGGTCTTTTTTGGGGCTGAAAAATGACATCAGATGGAATTTTTTTTTTTACAGTGAGCACGGTTTAATAGACATGCCCCTACTCGCGGTGTATAGCAATTTACTAATACTAAGTAATCTTTACTTAGTATTAGTAAATGTGGCTGAAATACCAATTTAAGTCTTTTAGCCTTTTGTTAGATAGCTCCCTAATTCCCATTGTATCAGGAAGCTATCTACTAAGCGGCTGCAAGATGCAGCCGCGGAACGAATCAGATTGGAGTTTTTCATTCGAATGAAGTTCCGATCCGAACAAAGTCCCGAATTGTGTTCTAACACGAATGGAGAAACTGTTCTCATTCTGTTAGGACGCAATTAGGTAGTTTTGCCGGCGTCCTGTCTAAGTGGATACTGACAGGATGCATCATGGGAACAGGGAGGAAGGGAGCTAAGAATTGTGGGAAAATTTATCTGACCACCGGAAATGAAGCACACTTTGTTCCTCCGCTGGTCAGAGATGGTCAGGCGTAGGAAACCTCCATAAGACAAATAGTCCCTACTTTGTCTTATGTTTTTTAAAGAAGACTAGAGCAGATAGGAAGAAATGAACAGATCCTGAGAGAGGGAGAGAATAGAAATCGATTACATAAAAGTAAGTTCGGCATGACCGTGCCGCTTTAATATTTGTTTCTGTGTGAAAAATGCAAAAAAACTAATTTGAACGCCAAGTTTGGCTGACGATATTATTGTTGTAATACATTTTACGGTTTTGAAACCCTAATATTTGTATTCAGCGACGTCTTCTGAGTAAAACCGTACCCACCATGTACAGATTTTATGGTGTCTTGGAAAATTACAGGGTTAAATATAGTCAGGGCCGGCCTTAGGGGTGTGTGAGCTGTGCGGCCGCACAGGGCGCCATGGACCGTGGGAGCCATACAGCCGGCACAGCTCACACCATGTCCGGGTGACCGCGGTGCAAGGGGAGCTAAAGCAGGTACCCGGTGGAGGAAAAAAATAGCGAGGGGACGGGGCTTACCAAGTGGTGGGGCGGAGCTTAATGAGGAAGAGGCTGGGCTAATATGATAGCGGAGGTGGTGCTAAAACCTACCAGAAGCCCCTGGTAATAACTGCTGCACAGAATGGGGGAAGCAGGAAGGAGTCCCTGCTTCCCCAACAACTAGAATACAGAAATAATAAAGACTTTTAACGCAATTCTGTATGGACACATATGTAAAAGATCGGAATATGAACTCGTTCAAACAAAGGAATATCTTGAATAAGAAAACAGAACTTGTATTATATTTGGGACATTACGCTGGAAAAACCCGATGAAACGAAAGGAGCTGAAAAGAACAAAGGTGTTTACACTCCCGCCCAGCAACCACCGTTGAATGTGCTGAGAACAAAATCACACAAAAATAAAAAAATGGAAATCAAATTTTTCAACCCATGGAGGTCTGGATTTGGAGTCACATTCAAAATTAAAGTGGAAAAACACACTACAGGCTGATCCAACTTTGATGTAATGTCCTTAAAACAGGTCAAAATGAGGCTCAGTAGTGTGTGTGTGTGTGTGTGTGTGTGTGTGTGTGGCCTCCACGTGCCTGTATGACCTCCCTACAATGCCTGTGCATGCTCCTGATGAGGTGGTGGATGGTCTCCTGAGGGATCTCCTCCCAGACCTGGACTAAAGCATCTGCCAATTCCTGGACAGTCTGTGGTGCAACGTGACGTTGGTGGATGGAGCGAGACATGATGTCCTAGATGTGCTCAATTGGATTCAGGTCTGGGGAACGGGCGGGCCAGTCCATAGCATCAATGCTTTCGTCTTGCAGGAACTGCTGACACACTCCAGCCACATTAGGTCTAGCATTATCTTGCATTAGGAGGAACAAGGGGTCTGAGGATCTCATCTCTGTACCTAATGGCAAGCACATGGAGGGCTGTGCGGCCCTCCAAAGAAATGCCACCCCACACCATTACTGACCCACTGCCAAACCGGTCATGCTGGAGGATGTTGCAGGCAGCAGAATGTTCTCCACAGCGTCTCCAGACTCTGTCATGTCTGTCACATGTGCTCAGAACCTTTCATCTGTGAATAGCACAGGGCGCCAGTGGCGAATTTGCCAATCTTGGTGTTCTCTGGCAAATGCCATATGTCCTGCACGGTGTTGGGCTTGTAAGCACATCCCCCACCTGTGGAAGTCGGGACCTCATACCACCCTCATGGAGTCGGTTTCTGACCGTTTGAGCATACACATGCACATTTGTGGCCTGCTAGATGTCATTTTGCAGGGCTCTGGCAGTGCTCTAACCTCCTGCTGGGTTGTTGCCCTCCTATGGCCGCCTCCACGTCTCCTGATGTACTGGCCTCCATGCTCTGGACACTTCGCTGACAGACACAGCAAACCTTCTTGCCACAGCTCGCATTGATGTGCAATCCTGGATGAGCTGCACTACCTGAGCCACTTGTGTGGGTTGTAGACTCCGTCTCATGCTACCACTAGAGTGAAAGCACCGCCAGCATTCAAAAGTGACCAAAACATCAGCCAGGAAGCATAGGAACTGAGAAGTGGTCTGTGGTCACCACCTGCAGACCCATTCCTTTATTGGAGGTGTCTTGCCAATTGGATACATACAAATTAGGTGGAGTCTCTTGGTTCGTGGGTGTAGAATAAATATAGAAATGTATAACTGTAAAAACAGAGAAAAAGACAAACATCTAGTGCAGTATAATAGAGTACATAAATAACTCAATGTAGGATGTATGATTGAGTACTCCCAAATAGAGAGCCAGAAATAAATGGCTCAATATAGGCGCCTGTGGGATAATTTAAAGTGTTCCCACTCCCTTTAAGAGCATAACCATTATAATGAATCGGAAGAAAATTCTTCTTTTAATGGAAAGAGATATCATAAAATACAGATAAAACTTTAAAATGTAAAGAAAAAATGTCTCTTATAGAAAAAGCCACTCAAGGTGGTAAAGTCATAAAAAGTCCACTTAGGGATAGCAAGACGCGTTTTGCCTATTAGGCGTCCTCAGTTGCTTCTAGTGTTACCTGTCCTTCTGTAGCCTTTTATACTCTCCTTTGATGGTGTAATTACAATAGTCTGTGATGAATCCATCTCTTCCGGCTTCCGACCTCATTTCCGGTTTCATACTGGTGACGCACTTCCAGTTTCTGGTTTCGCCTGTCGTTGGAACGCATATGCGTTCCACCTATTGAAAAAACTTTATTGTCCATATCCACTACTCGGCTTCCAATTGATAACATGATTCCGGTTCTTTTCTTCACATTCCTTTGGAACGCATATGCGTTCCACCTCTAGAGGAAGTGGAACTTTTCATAGGTGTTTTCTTATTTATATTCACTACCATTATACATGTTATATGTACATATATACAGTGATACAAAATATGGAAAATTATAGAAGGCCATATGCAAATAATAAAAACATGGAAAGTGCATTGTTAAATAGATGTGGTAGAAGGAAGAATGAAATAGGCAATCTTTAGAGAATATATTACACAATCACATAAAAGATAGAATAATATTATAGGTTCAAAGAACCTAGTAGAGGTTCTAAATGGCATAGACCCATTTTATAGTGGAAAAGAGATTATGTTTTGAGGAAATGGCAAATCTCAAAATCAGAATTGAGACCATTAGGTATCAAGGTGTTAAAATTAAAGATAAATTTAATTTCCTCTTTCCCTAGCTTGGTGATGTAATCTCCTCCTCTCCAATCTTTTGTGACTAGTTTTATTGCACAAAAAAAAAAAAAGAGACCTATTGGATCTTGCTTATGGATCATTTTAAAATGTTGAGAAACAGTGTGTGTCTAAGCCTTTCCTAATATTGTGTACATGTTCTGCAATCCTTACATGAAGGGGTCGTATGGTTCTCCCTATATAAAGGAGATTGCAGGGACATTTTAAGGCATAGATAACTCCTTTGGAATGACATGTAAGGTGATCTCTTATCTTGTATTGTTGTCCTAACACTTCACTTATGTCTAAAAGAGGTCTTTTTTTACTTTTAGTTACTCTACATGGTAAACATTCTCCACAACCATAAAAACCTATAAGATTCTTCATAAAGTGATCTGGTTTAGCAGTTTCTAAACTGCTTCTGACTAGAATATTTTTCAGATTTTTAGTTCCTCTATATAGAATTTTTGGTTTCGAAGGTAGAATCTCCTTCAAGATGGGGTCATCTCTTAAAATGTGCCAATGTTTCTGTATGGCTTTTTGAATCTGTTTGGTGTTTCTGTTGTATTTACATATGAAGGGAATGTCATTACGTTTTTGGGGGATATTCTTAGATTTATTAGATCTTAGATCTTGAGGAAGACCTGAAGAGGTCGAAACGTTGATCAGATGTATGTTATCTGTTATTAAATAATATCGAGTTTTTTTTGTTTTTTTTCTACAAAGACCTGAGAGTGCATCTCTTTCCTTTTTGCTTTACATATCCAGCGTGGGATTGCACCAAGGCAGTCTTTTACTGATTCATTGAAAGGGTGAGTGCCACTATACGTGTGTGTGTGTGTGTGTGTGTGTGTGTATGTGTATGTGTGTGTATATATATATATGTGTATATGTATGTATATTCAAAAAATTAGAATATCGTGCAAAAGTTAATTTATTTCAGTAATGCAACGTAAAAGGGGAAGCTAATATACGAGATAGACGCATTACTTGCGAAGCAAGATAGTTCAAGCCGTAATTTGTCATAAGTGCGATGATTATGGCTTACAGCCTGCGATGGGAACAATGATCAGAGCATTCAATATCAAATAAAATACATATATAAGATGAATCGTGATTATATTGTTTTAAACACCATAGTTTATATTGGCTCAGAAGAAAAAGTGTGTATGCGCCATATCGCCACGGCGACTAGAAATTTTGCCCTGGCGTCTGGGATTTGCCAGCTCCCTAGTTAGGGAGGGAGCTTCGGTGGCCGTCATAGGGAATATTGGAGGCGGCCAACTGCCTGTGGGAACATGGAGGCGGCTCCTGCCTGCAAAAGCACTGTGCAGAGCCGCCGCCCGCAGAAGCATTGTGGGCAGTGTGTGAGGGAGCAGTACTCTGTTTGCCTCTGCTCTCTCACGCTGTCTAATGATGTTGGGAGCCGGAATATGACGTCATTCTGGCCCGAGGGAGCAGAGAGGAGCTACAGGCAGAGTACTGCTCATTCGCATACAGGAAGAGAGCAGCCCCACTGGACCAAAGGTAGGGAGGCTGAGTAGGTTTCAATTAAAACAAAAGTGTGTGTGTGTGCCTGTGAGAGAGCCTGTCAGAATTTGTGTGTGTGTCTGTCAGAGTGTGTGCGTGCAAGCCTGTTGTCAGCATGACTGAGTGTGTGTGAGAGAGCCTATCAGCGTGTGTGCATCTATCAGTGTCTGTGTGTGAGCGAGAGCCTGTCAGTTTGTGTACGAGTGTGTGCGTGCAAGCCTGTTGTCAGCAGGATTGTGTGTGTGTGTGAGAAACCTGTCAGTGTGTGTGCGCCCGTTTAAGTACCTGCCCCTTCTGATCACATGAGGAAGGTGTTTACTCACCTTTCTTCCCATTTTCCCACGCCGTACCAGTTTCACCATGGTTGAAATGATCAATCTTTATGATCTCAGCTAAGCCAATGCTTTCCCTTAGGATGCGCTGAACACAAATATGAGTGTTTAAAACAATAAAACTCATCACAACGATTAAATCACCAGTAAAAGTGCAGTTTTGGGTAAAAAAATAAAATTTAAAAAAAATTTAAAAACCCCCAAATAAAAACACTAACTTTGGATAGCATTTGTGGCTACTAAAAGAGTGGACATACCCCATTTTGAATACCCTGGGTTGTCTACATTTGGAAATGGTATCCCATGATGGGGTTAATTTTTATTCCTGGGCTGCTATACTGTCTCAAAGGCAACATAGGCTCAGCAAACCAATTTGTCAAATTTCAATGTGCAAACATGGAAAAAGGGAAAGCCATACATTTGACCTCCGTAAGTTAACAAAAATCCATAAAACCTGTACATTGGGGCAACTGTTGTACTCGGAAGATGTTGCTGAACACCTATTGGGGTATTCAACACTCCACACAGCATCGCGCGGGAGGACAGGGGAGCTGCAGGGGACTGGGAAGAATCAGTGCAAGACACAATGCTGGCTGAATGAATAGGAAGAGGATAATCTAAGGGTGGTGATCTCTGGCAACTAAATGTCATTAAGGGCAGAAAGGTAAAACACAGAATGGAATCTGGCTGACTTTAATTCCCAGTACCTGCTGAAGACAGGTGGAGGAGATAAAGTAGCTTGCTTTATACGAAGCAATTTCACTCCACAGTGGCCATAAGTGCCAAAAGAGACCGGTTATCTACCAGTTTATGCCAAAATAAAAAAATTCTACCACTGGACCACCAGGAATGGCTGTGTTCCCCCCCCCCACCCCCCCCTCCACCCCCTTTCATTAAAGGTAAGAAGGAGGGAGGGGGGATACAGATTTAGCATAACTTTGTTTTATTTTTATTTTTTACCACCCCTACAACCCCTCCCCCCACACACAGCACCCCTGCCCCTCCCCCACACTCGGCACCCCTACCCACACACAGCACCTCTCCACACCCAGCACCTCTCTCCTGTCACATCCTGTTCCTCGCTGCGGATCATTCTGACAATGGCTTCTGGTATCCAGTACTCTTTTTGCTGTCCTTGCTTGGTTTTTCTGCTCTATGTCTGGTTTTCTTTGTTGCTGGGTTTCTGGGTTCATTCTTAGATTCTGTCCCTGGATTTCCCAGTCTCTTGGATTCACTTAAATGTTTGCTTTATGTTGCTACACCCGTTTGTTTTCCACTTTCCTCTTGTTTCAGCCTGGACCTGCAGCAGTGTTTCTAGTTTCTGCCCTTTCTTGCAGGTAAGTGCTATTGTGGTATAGTGTGGTTGTTTTAGTATACATTAGGCAGTGTAGGACCTGCCAGATATGGGGTACATTGGCGTTGTTGGCAGGCTTGTGCAATGTATGATCATATAATGTGACTAAATCCCCATACTTTTCATAATTAGTGCTTAGCTATGTTTCCTTTTGTTTTACCTTGTATCTCTTGTCTTGTTTTACTTTGTCTTGTAATCCCAGTCCATGTACAGACCTGTTCAGTCATGCCCATGTTATGTTCTTGTTTTCCTCATGTCTTGTGTACATGTTCTAGGTTATGCTTTCTGTCCTGCTCCGGTTCTGGGTTCTCCTAGTCTTGTCTTGTTTTCATGTATGGTGCCTATTTCTAGTTTTGACCTGTTCTAGTTTTGTCTTGTTCTCATGCATGGGGCCTATCTCTAGTCTTTCCTTGTTCTCCTAGTTTGGTCTTGTTTTCTTGTATGGTGCCTTGCTCTCCTAGATTTGCCCTGCTTCAGTACTGGATACATCCCTGCTGCAGAGCCTCCCTATTCAGCTCCTGGGAGGTCTGCTTAATTACCTGCTCCTAGTTCCTGGGATCCGCATAAGCTGATTCAGGGTTCTGGTTGTGGCTGCACAAACGCTGGTGCTCAACACCAGGGGGCGTGCGGTTACCCAGCACCAGACCCTGCTAATCCACTTCCATGCTGAAGACTCCCACTTCTCATCAGGCACTCAGGGATCCCGGTTTCTTTACCGTCACCTGTGACATCCCCACACCCTACCAACACACAGCACCCCTACCCCCACACAATCCATATCTAGATGGCAACAAAGATTTGTATTGCAAGATATTGGAAGTGTGAAGAAACCCCTACTTTTACCGAAATTATAACCCAAATAAATTACCAAGGACAAATAAAAAAAGCTGTTTACTTTAATAATTTAAATATTACGAAATATAATTGAAATGGAAAAATCAACCAATAAATTGATTATTTCTTTGTGTATCTGCCCCTGGCCAAATTAATGAAACAATGCGTGCACGCTCCCTGAAGTAATTCACACCAGACACAGGTTCCAGGTTGTTGAATAACTTTAGGAATGTTTATTCAGAGGGGAAGGCAAGTCCCTTTTAAAGCAAAATTACATCATAGGTACCGTCAGAGATAACATGGAATAAATACATCAATAATTGGTTAGGTGTTAAGTGGTCTTCCTAATGCTCTGCCTACTAAGGGTGATGTCACTGGGACCATGAGGGTCTCCCACGGTTTCCCAGCGCCATCTTGCTGCATGAGGTAGTTAGTCGGTGTTATTGGGGAGGAAGGGTTAGAAGCTTCTAGCAGCCATTTTGACTAAATATGCGTGTATAGCTTATATACTGTTTTTGTGCGATGAGTAAATAGACATTTTACTAACTAGGAAATATATCAAGACCTTATTTCCACAACAATAATAAATCTGGTTTAGATGGTATGAGTATTATAATATGAGTATCTGATCTTTTGGCAAACTTATGGGCATTAAACTATTGATTGATCAAGTAATACATTTATAATTGGAAATATTGTCTCTGAATCAACCAATACTAAAACAGACTTGCGATCCCATCTTACAACGAAAAAGATACCCTCAGAACACAAGATGCCCTTTCCAATTATGTTTTTTTTTTTTTTTTTATATGTATGTATGTGTTTTTTTTCACTAAAACTTTACATGAAATAAGAGAAAATGGGTAAATCTTTAGCCACTATACGAGTAATAATGGATAATTATTAGTATAACTAATTTTTAAAATATTAAAAAATATATATTCTACACCAAACAGTAAATGGATATACACCCTGTTCAAATTATTATGCAAATTATATTTTTCTCATTTACCTAAATAATTGATGTAAATAAGTCAGCATAATTCTCATGTAATCAACTATTAAGAGTACAATTCAAATTTTATTGAACAAACCTAATGATAACAGTATTTTTTAAAATAAACTTACAATGCACTGTTCCAAATTATTATGCACAGTAAGTTTCAAAACACTTTATAGGTTGTAAAGAACTGAAAATTTTCATTTGTTGTGTTTGCAGCATATTTACTGAAATCAAAAGCTATTTCAATCAAATTTATAACAACATTTTAACTGAAAAATTAAAAAATTAAGTGTGTCTCACACTGAGTAAGTTGAGCAGCAGGCTATGTGTTGCAGCAATTATCATCATAACCCCTGCAGGCATTTGACTAGATAGGTATGGGATTGTGCAAAGATGAACGCTATAAAGGTGAGTCGGGTGTGTGAGGTGTTGAAGGTGTCTAGAGGACATGCCTATCTTTGCTTGCTTTATGAAGCGCTCTGTATCCCTGAGCTGGGGGGGGGGGAGTGAGAAGTAGTAGATGTCGCCCAGTGGTGCGGTTAGTGTCGTGTCCGTGTGCCGTCATCCCCTGAGGTAGTGAGACATGTGGGCCAAAGGGGTAATACCGGGAAAAAAAAAAAATAATAAAAAAAAAACAAGTGATATATAGTCGGTTCAGTAAAACAGTTGAACTACATACAGTCTCGGTCCATGGTGTTACATGGAATCATGAGGTGTGAGTCCCGGTACTTGGTCATAGGCCCCAGGTTGCGCCAGCCGCTTGTGTGTTCGGTGCGGTCTTCCGAGGGACGAAAGTGGTGGCTGTTGCAGGGTTCCACGTGTGTGGCCGGTTTAGCCTGGTGAGGTGTGTGAAACTGCAGGGCGGTCTGTGGGAGTCCCAGGGTCCCCAGTAGTGCAGCAGCATCCTGTAGTGTGTGGACGTGGTGCGGGGTGTCCCCGTGGATGATCAGCAGGGTCTGCGAAGGGTGCCACCGGTACTGGATATTAAGGTCCCGTAGAAGGGTGGAAAGAGGCTGCAGGGATCTCCGCCATTGCAGTGTGTTGCCAGACATATCTGCATAGAAAGATAGATCCAGGTTCTCAAATTTGTAAGTGGGAGTCCCTTGTATAGCGGCCTGGACTGCTGTTTTTTCTCTAACGGATTGAAATTGGACTACCAGGTCCCTGGGTGCTGCGGTCGGCGCCTTCCGTGGTTTGGGTATGCGGAACACTCCTGTGAAGGCCATGTTTTTGGCCTGTCGTGGCGTGAGTAGGGATGCCATCAGTCTCCGTAGGAAATGCGGGATTTCCGCCTATGGTATGTCCTCGGGTACTCCTCGTAGCTTGAGGTTCTTGCTACATCTCCTGACTTCGAGGTCTGCGAAGCGCAGGTCCGTGGCGGCCTGTTGCTTTTTGCGGGCCAGGACCTCTTGTTCGAGGGCCGCGATCTTCTGGGAGTGTGTGTCAGACGAGGCTTACACAGCCCCCAGCCTGCCCACAAGGCCTGTGAGATCTGCCCGGAGCGAGGCCACGTCCGCCTGGATCGTTGTTTTCAGGTCAGTGAGCATCTCCCGCAGGGCTGCCTCTGTCACCGGCGTCGAGTCAGTGCTCCAAGGGGCTGGTTGTGGGTGAGCCGGGGCTGGTGTAATAGTGTTGCTCAGACTCAGCGAAAAGTCATCTGAAGAGTCTGAGTAGTCAGTGATGTCAGCCGCCATTTTAGGCCCTAGCGCTCCGCGCGCTTGACGGAGCATTTCTCCGATGTTCATTCCCGGCCTGGGTTTGTCGGGTTTCTGCTTCTTAAGCTTTCGCCCCATGTTGGTCAGGGCTGTGTTTTGTGCTTTTTTTCGGGGTGAAATTCCATTGGGGGATCCGGATTTATTGCGTTTTGGCCCGGAGCAATGTGCATACACGTCCGTTCTCTTTCAGTGCGTAGCTCCGCCCAGGTCACGTTACATTTTAACATAGGACCCCCTTATTTGATATCAGCTTCACATCCATTGAACTTGTGATTTTTTTTGGACTGTTTCTACTTGAATTTGTTTGCAAGATGTCAGAATAGCCTCCCAGAGCTGCTGTTTTGGATGTAAACCGCCTCTCACCCTGATAGATCTTTTGCTTGAGGATGCTCCAAAGGTTCTCAGTAGGATTGAGGTCAGGGGAGGATGGAGGCCACACCATGACTCTCTCCTTTTATCCCCATAGCAGCCATTGATGCAGAGGTATTCTTTGCAGCATGAGATGGTGCATTGTCATGCCCCAAGGTGATTTTATTACGGAAAGCATAGTTCTTCCTTCTGCACCAGGGAAGAAAGTGGTCAGTCAGAAACGCCACATACTTTGCAGAAGTCCTCTTTACACCTTCGTGGACCCTAAAGGGGCCGACCTGCTCTCTTTCCATGATTCCAGCCCAAAACATGACTCCACCACCGCCTTGATGACGTCGCAGCCTTGTTGAAACAGGTTGGTCATCCACCAACCATCCACTACTCCATCCATCTGGACCATGCAGGGTTGCACGGCACTCATCAGTGAACAGGACTGTTTGAAAATTAGTCTTCATGTATTTTTCTGCCCAATGCAGCCGTTTCTGCTTGTGAGCATTGGTTAGTGGTGGCCGACTAGAAGGTTTATGCACAGTTGCAAGACTCTGGAGGACTCTACACCTTGATATCCGTGGGACTCCAGAGTCACCAGCAGCTTCAAATATCTGTTTTCTTCTATGTAATGGTATTTTAGCAGCTGCTCTCTTGATCCGATGCATGGATCTGGCAGAAATCTTCCTCAATGTGCCTTTATCTGCACGAACCTGTCTGTGCTCTGAATCAGCCACAAATCTCTTAATAATGCGATGATCATGCTTACGTTTTCATGACATATCTAATGTTTTCATACCTCGTCCAAGGCATTGAACTATTTCACTCTTTTCGGCAGCAGAGAGATCCCTTTTCTTCCCCATATTGCATGAAAATGGTGCTCTGCTTAAAGGACCACTATAGTGCCCTGAGGGTGCCACCACCCTCAGGGACCCCCTCCTGCCCGGCTCTGGGGAGAGGAAAGGGGTTAAAACGTACCTTTCTACAGCGCTGGGCAGGGAGCTCTCTGCCTCCGATCCTCCTCCGATCCTCCCATTCAGCTGAATGCGCACGCGCGCATATTTAGCGGGTCTCATAGGAAAGCATTTGCAATGCTTTCCTATGGACGCTTGCGTGCTCTCACTGTGATTTTTTTTTTTTTCACAGTGAAAATCACGCAAGCGCCTTTAGCGGCTGTCAATGAGACCGCCACTAGAGGATTTGGAGGCCGGATTAACCCATTTATAATCATAGCAGTTTCTCTGAAAAACGGATCGCCTGGCACCCCGACTGGGTACCTCCGTTAAAGGATGCTCCTAGCGCTTCTTGAGGACTCCAAGCACTGCAGCAGACACCACAACCACTGAACCGGAGAAGCATATGAATCCTCTCAAGCATATGAATGCGGTAGACAGTTGAATAGGAACCATACGAATAGGTTTACTCTCCTAGCAGTCAAACTGGAACAGCATACAATAAATCCTTCCCCCAATAATGAGACGACACTTCACTTTGAGGGTTAAAACAGGAACTCTCTGTACTGTCACATACAGTCTCTTTTATTCCCAATCCACAAACATAGTACAGCCCACAGGGCGTTACAAAACAACCAATCAATCCGTACAATACACCCAGACACTCCCACACAAAATCCTCCCCTCTGCAGGTGATATGATTACTGAACACAATGGGTAATCTCATTATCACCGGCAGAGGAATACAGTTTTTACACAATATTTCTAACTTCTAAAATATACATGTCACAAACATAAAACATACATTTTCATAATCAGTCCATTCAGGGGAACAACATATTAAAAAATGGCACGAATCAGACCAGGGGTTCAAAAGTTAAGGGAAAGTCCTTTGTGACTAAATGAAGCATGGCTTTCTGGCCCAACCAGTTTCAGAGTCTTCTATCCTGGAGAGGAATTCAATTATCTCCCAGGACAGACACAAGACTCAATTAAGCACATGGTTGCAAAAAGACACAAAACACTTTCAAATACATAAAGTCACCTTTTACACATAACACACAGACATTTCACATATCCCCAGATAGCTGGGATCTGAGTGCACATTATTAGATGAATGGTACTCAGATCACACAAATAAGCCTTTCTGCAGGGGAAATAAATGGTTTAACCTGCAGGGCCATAGTCCAAAGGGAGCAGGCGAGCAACCAGGCTTCTCCAGTTCAGTGGCGAGGTTGGTTTCGCCACACTATGTTTATTAAAAAAAAAAAAAAAAAAAATGGGTTAACCCTAGCTGGACCTGGCACCCAGACCACTTCATTAAGCTGAAGTGGTCTGGGTGCCTAGAGTGGTCCTTTAACAATGTGGAATACCCTCCTTTAGTAGTTTTTCCCTTAAATTGGGCTCACCTGGCAATCAAATTATTCCAGGTGTCCGAGATGGTTTTCAGTGATCAAAAGAGCCCTGAGACACAATGCCATCCATGAGTTAAACTGAAAAACAAAATATTTAATCTTTGTGACACTTAAATAGAATTTGCATAATTTGGAACAGGGTGTTGATTTTCTCAAAACTGGAACAATCTAAAATACAAAGGTAAAATATATATGTAAAATATATATGTAAAATATATATGTAAAATATATATATATTGATATTGCAGACGGTAAATCTATAAAAACAAGCCCCTATGTTGGATAAAACTCACAGGATGTAGAGCCATCCCAGGCTCTATATGGTAAGCTTGACATAAAGATAAACAATGAACAGCAGACACATTTCGACTCCCGATGGAGTCTTCCTCAGTGCTGCAGTCCTTTCTCCCTGGTCGCAATAAATACAGTCTGTAACCATCTTCAAGCCGGAAAAGCTGTGTGACTTCCTATTTCTGGCATTCTGTTTCCAGTGCAGCATGTACACGTCTTCATTCTGCTACTGTTACGTGACGCAGACGTAATCGCGTCACTTCCAGATTTCCAATCCCAACATGAAAAGGGCAAAGAAGAATAAAGTCCCATATTCCAAAGGGGCAAAAAATTGAGTCCACAAAAAATATAAAGTATAAATGTAATAAAGCATACCTAAAAAATAAACAAGTTAAAATAGTATATGTATTAAGTAACAAATACAAAAGACCATAAACAAAGAACAATTAATAGAAAAAAGTGCATAAAAGAAAATGTAATACAGAACCCTTTTCCATCAGTTAGGCTGTGAGTGAGTAGAACATTTCCTAAAACATTTTCCTGCTATTTATTTTTTTTGTTTTACTGTGGGACTTCTTTATGTGGTGTTTTTAGGCTATATGCCTTTTATACTTATTGATATCACTGCTCAATTGTCCCTTTTTAATATTTCATTATAATAAACTTTGTTACATTTTTAATTTATTTTGTGCTGTTCTTTTTCAAAAATGTTGCTTTTAGCCTGGCTAGGCACACTTAAGCTTATTATATAGAGACTGGGGCGGCTCTACATCCTATGAGTTTTATCCTACATTGGGGCTTGTTTTTATATATTTACCGTCTGCACTATATATTTTACCTTTTGTATTTTAGGTTGTTCCAGTTTTGAGAAAATCTATATCTATCTACTATTTGGTGTAGTATATTTTTTTAATTGCTATACTATTTATATTTTAAGTGTTGTGGGGTACACTTATACTGCACCTATATATATTATTATTATGTAGGTTGTACACACCGTTTTATCTTTTTATTCTATAAAATATTAAGGTTTTTAAGATTTACCATATAAGTATGATATCCTTGACACTATTTTATAATCTATATCAAAGACAAATATTGACACAAAATAGAATACTAATTGGTTTGATGAAGAGAAACTCAAAGGATATAAATTCTGTAATGTTGTGTTTTTTTTTTTTTTGTAATTCTTTGTTTTTATTGAGGTGTAAGATGGGTCAATACAGAAAGTAAAACATGGGGTTAATGCATGAAAAACATACGTTGTGCATAACTATTTGTACAATGGTTGCATATGCTCCCGAGTATAACAGCCTCTTTTTATAAGTTTTTCAACAATAATGTTATACATGCTAAACGGGCCAAAATAGTACAGAATCACTTGACTGCACCTGGGTCTCTGCTGGTTGTAACCTCGCTGGCATGTCTAGGTATAGAAATAGGTATCCGCGGCAAATTAACAGGCTGGTTTGCCATCCCTAGTCTTGGCTTTCAGCTTATGTGAAGCGTTATATTTGCAGCCCGTCTAGCCTTTGGATAGGTTAACCTATTGCGGTAATCGACATTAGGAGGCATGTGGGCTGTGGGCTGTGGGCCTGTCAGATAACACTAATACAGTTAACCTAGAGAAAAACTTGAGACATATGAGAAAGCTAACAAAATTAAAATACCGCTGTTTAGTATGGGCTAAAGAGTATTCTTGTATGCCTGGTCACATTAAGAGGACATAAGTTGAGTCACATAGGCAGAGAACACAGTATACATGGTAACTGCATAGACCAATTATATCATGCTTGTTACTGCATGCTGCCTAGAGGAGTATGCCCGCTGAGCCCCGAAGTGTGTGCGGCTAGTCGACTAGACAGATCAAAGCATCTTACAAACCTGTTTCGGCTGGCAGTTTTAAGGGTTTTTGGCCCAAGTCCTGGATAAGCGTTTTTAAATCCGCATGGTAGTGGCCAGTGTGTCAGTTTTTATCTCTCACTGCTCGTCCTCGTACTCCATCGGGTATGCTGTTGCACCTCGAGGTGAATATCACTTGATTTTTAGTTTTCCCGGTGTTGTGGTGGTACTGTGTCTGTGGGCTGCCAGCCTGAGGCTTTAGCAGGCGCTCCTGCCCATTCGCCATTGATCCCGTCAGCAGGATCGTGGGCCCTGGGTTCCGCCGGATCATGGTCTTCTCCCAGGGAGTATGGCAGGCTGCAGAGGGGTTCCTCTTGGTGAGCGCCAAGCCCAGAAGAAGGGCGAGTGGTCTCATGGGCAGCGCCATCCACATGAGTAGTGCGTTGTGCAGGGTCTTTAGTGCATTGCGCCCGATGTGTCTCCAGACTTGGGTGCCGCTTTATGGTGTGGGTCGGTGTATGTTTGCAGCCTTGTGCACCGTGCCAGGTTGTATCTGCTGTCTGCTTTAGGCTCTGCAGTTCGGTCTCCGCACACGTGGCCACCGCCATCTTGGCCGCGGGCCTTGGGTCTGCATGGTGGTCTAGTAGTGCCTCCGAGTGTAGTTTTGGGGGGGGAGGGGGAGATCAGGACCGGGTCCGCCAATGTGCCATGTGCATGTCGGGCTCCGTTGGGCAGGATAGTGGAGCGGTGGCTGGCTCCTCCACTCACCGCCAGGTACCCGCTGGATGCTGCAGGGACCCCTCCTCTGTGGGACTGGAACTCCGGGAGCAAGCCCCCCCGACTCTGGTAGCCCATATACGTCGCAGGTCAAGGTTGTTGGTTGCTGAGTTCTGCTAAATTCACGATTTATAGTTTAAATGGGGTATATTGTGCAGGAGCTGCTCTTTCCTGCAACCGCTCGGCAGCCCGCCCCCCCCCCCTCTAATGTTAGTTTGTATGTATCTACACTATTTTATAATATGTTATTTGTTGTAAAACAAAATGTCTACATGCTCTTCTATTAAATGTAAAATTTTATAAAAATTCAACATTAAAAACAAAAAAACGTATAGCAAAACTACAAAAAAGTTTGGGCTATTTAGGCATAAGCTAAAAAGGGCAATAAGATATGGTAACTAAAAATGCTTTATTGAAGTTCCTTGTAAAATGTTTTTATTTCAGGATAACTTCTTTGACGAGTATCAACTGGAAGGAGTTTCAGCAGAGCAAAATGAAATTTTTCTCGAACTTATTCCTGAAAATGTATCTCGAGCCTTAAAAATGGCACAAAATGCCAAAAGTGTAAAGATGAAGTTAAAAAACAAGCATTGTCCTTGTTTAACTGTGGCAGTGGAATTGGTAAGAGAATCTGTGTGTGACTTTGAAATTATTTTTAATTTGTTCGGTAAGGGTTAGAAAATTTATATTCCCATTGTTCTGGATGCATCTTTTGTGTACACAAAAACTTCACCGGTTTCATTGATATGTTTGAAATTCAAATTAATATTTAGGTCTTAACCTCTGGATGGGCAGTTATCACAGGCTGCCTTCCTCGTCTCATAGTTCAGTTTTGACTTGGCCAGAGGATTAGATGAACTTGATGGTCAAAGTTCTATTTGCACATGTTTATTTGGCAAACAATCCATGTGTGCAGAGTTTAGTAGTCACTGTCTTTATATAGACATACTTTTGAAATGTCTTGTATTTTGTTAGACAGTCACAATTTTGGTGTCTTGTCTGGCTTTGGTTCACGAGTGTCTTACTGTTGGTGTCATCATAATAAAAAAAAAAAAAAAAAGTGAGGGCCTTTAATGACACACTCCCATAAGCTTGTGGCAACCCATTAAAAGCAATTCAGTAGCAGTCTAACCACGTGTGGCATCTAAGGAAAATGTCTGACAAGTCCTTCCGTGCCTTGGTAATCTGTGAATCAATGTTTATCATCTGCACATAATCATGTTGCCTTCCTCAGAAGAGGACAAGATGATCATTAAATCCAGTCAGCTTATTATGTAGAGTCAAGTGGGTACCCAAACGCCTCAGTACAGCATTAAAATAGGCAAGTTAAATTTTCAGTTATTCGTAGTTCCCATAGTGAGCCATACTCACTCGTATTTTCCCTGCCCTCTTTAGCTATATTGCTAACTCTAAGCCATGTTCCTGGCTTAGATTCTCTTGATGCCAAATACAGAATAGTTGCTCCATTTCAACTTGTTTATTTTTTTTGTAATTTTTTTATTCTTACTTAAACTCAAACTGTTTGTAGACCGGTT